TGCCAATTTTCTGACCGAGGTCAGAAAAATGAGCTTTAGAAGCCTTTATACAATGACTTGATACGACTATCAATTTTCTGACCGAGGTCAGAAAAATGGCAGTAGAAGATACAATGATTTGATACGACTGTCAGTTTTTTGACTGGGGTCAGAAAATTGAGCTTTGGAAGCCTTTATACAAGAAATTCCATCAAAATGCTAGGGGATCGGGTTGACCCTCAAAACTGACTATACCCCTGACTTGATGGGACTCCCATGGGACCCCCACTATTATAAAGCTTGCTTAACCAATCGGGGAGCTGTAAATAGAAGGTCTTACTATCTTATGATCTATCTTCGCGCTAGTTATTACTCGGCCTACTATAGAGTACTCAAGGTATAGAGGATAGATGCGATCGTTAATCAGAAGATTTTTGAGAGGTAAGTCAAGATTATTCTATCCTTATTATACTCCTAAGTCCCTCCCCTCTTTACCCCAGTCCTCTACGATATAATGATTATTGGAATATCATGTCTCAATACGATCTTTATGCTGAGGCTAGCCCTTCGTCCCAGATTGCCTCCTCGCAAATTGGGATACCTCCACCATCTTCACTCTATAATCTTGATTTGATAGATGAACCCCTTACACCAGACCATTCGATTAGCCAGCAGCCGATTTATAGCGTACCACCATCCTCAGTTGTTCAGTCCGAAATTGAATCAACACCTCTTCCACCTAGTCTTCGTCGAATCGGTCTACGAAATCAAAAGTTCTGGGTTCTCTGGACTATGGAGAATAAGGCAGAGTTTATTGAATGGTGGAGGAATACAACTGGTGCTCATCCATACCCTCCACTCCATAAAGTGAACTTCGAAGCACGATATATATCTTCTGCTTGGGATCAGTTTGACCAGGTAGCACACTATCAAACTGGAAAACCAATGGCACTCTGTCGGAGATGTGGAAAGGTGCTATCGCACCCATCATCAACCTTGAATGGGTCGGAATCCCTAACTGCGCACTTGAGTAGCCGCGCATGCAAAACTGGCGCACAAAAGGACTCAACCCAACAGGATATACAACAATCGTTTGAACTTTCGGTAAGACTAGGGTCTTATAAATAATCTATCTAAGGCTAACTTCTATATCATTCTTAGTCAAACCGTGTATCTACTCGAAAGGCCTTTAATCTACAAAGATTTGAGAGAGCCTAGGTAAAATTTATCGCAAACTCTCGCCTTCCATTTCAAATCCTCCGGCACCAAGAATTCCAAGATCTTATAGCAGAGGCACAGCTTTTACCACAACCTTTGAGCCTTCTTTCACCGAAAACTGCGCGGCGTCGACTCTAATCGATTGTCTAGGCAGAACAGCAAAAGCTACTCTCCCACCTCCCCGCTGGGGCAAAGCTCTCGATTGCTCTTGACTGCTGGACCTCACCATTCCAACAAGCGTTTATAGCGATCATAGGGTATTTTGTGGATATCGATTGGGTATATTATGAGATACTTCTAGGCTTTATGCCGGTTCATGGCTAGTATACCGGCGCTCACTTGGCAGAGGTTCTCCTCGGTATTCTTTCTGACCATGGGATCGTTGATAGGGTGATTGCAATTACTACTGATAATGCGTCAAACAACAAAACTATGGTTGAAAGTCTTTGTGAATCGATCCGACAGATAGATCTCCCGGATTCCACTGAGATTATACGGGTTCTATGCCTTGCCCATGTGATTCAGCTGAGTCTAAAAGATCTTCTTGGCTTGATGAAGGCCAATCCAAAGAATGATAAAACCGCGACCGTATGGTCAGAAGAAAATGGGGGCATCCTTCAGCAAGCAAAGCTACAGAAGGGAATTATTTATACACTTGCAAAGGTATATATCTAACCTCTATAAAGGTATCTTATATTAATCATGATTATAGGTTCGCGCTTTCGCTGTATTCATCAATGCTAGCCCACAGCGACGGGAGGCCTTTCTGAATCTCCAGAGCGACGGAATAAAGCTGGCTCCAATCCAAGATGTCCGCACTCGGTGGAATTCCACATATCTTATGCTCCAGCGTGCCAAGCGCCTTCAGACAATATTCCAGCGGTATTGTACAGAGCACCAGCGCCCTGAGTTCCACATCAGTAAAGGGGAGTGGCGCCAAATCGATTACCTACTCTGTATCACAAAGCCTTTCTACAAGTGGACGGTCGGTCTATCAAAGATCAAGACAACAACCATTCACAATGTTTTTATGGTATATAACCGGCTATTCACACATTTTGAACAATCCTAGGCCCGACTTCGTCGTAAGAAGGTGCCCTAGAAGAAGGCTATGCTAGCGGCTCTTGAAGCTGGAAGGGAAAAGCTTTCGGTATACTACCAATTAACAGAGGAAGCCCATGGTAGCTTATACGCCATAGGTACCATTCTTGCTCCCCAGTATAAGCTCAAGTTTTTTGAAGGCCCAGAATGGTTAGGTCAGGTTCAGCTCAATGATACTATTTCCTCTTGGCATGATATATACAAGTCTTCGCTTTATAGCCATCTTGAAGACTATTCGAAACATCAGCCAGAAAGGGAAGTACCACCCACAGCGATACCTTCGGCATATTATACAGAGGATGAAATGGCAAGCCTTCTCGCTGAGGATCAGCCACCGCCCCCACTACCATCAAAAGCCACTGGTTGGGAAGAAGAACTTAAGGGATATCTCAATCTTGGTAAGTTTATACTATCCTTTTACAATTTTACGAACCACGTTACTAACTCTCTATAGAATGGAGCGCAACGAATCCATGCCATTTCTGGAGGGAGAATGCGCGTAACTTTCCGACACTCGCAGGACTTACACGGGACGTCTTTTCGATCCCAGCCACAGGCGCAGGTGTTGAGCGTCTCTTTAGTACTGCTCGCGATATTTGCCATTACCGACGGGGCTCTTTAAATGAATCGACGATTCAAGATCTAATGATGCTCCGTTGTTTATCAAGGTTTGACATTAGAGATGAAGAAACTGAGGATACTGTTCAACCTGAATCCGTTCTTAACCAAGACGAAAGAACAGAGATTGACGAACAAAGGGAGGCAGGACTTCCTGACTATACGCCAGAGCCAATCAGTGATGGTGAAGATGGCGAAGACAGTGTAGACGATGAAGCCGACAACGTTAATCCAGACAATATGGATACCGCCACAGAAGAGGCAGAGCCAGATCATTCTATACGCCACCAATTACCAGTGATTCCGTTCAGTCAACAACGTCCCCAAAGAGAACGCAAGCGACGAAGAGATGATGATTTGTATACTTATACATAATAGAGATAGATTAGTATAGAATTTTTTAACAGCTGTTAAAATATCAAATTCTACTGTCTATCAGAAATTGCGCTCTAGATATAGCACTGCAAATCTACTATTTTTGTCCTAATACCAAGCCCAAAGTATTATTATCTCTATTCTTTGAGTAATTAAAATACCCAAAAAAACAGTGGCATTCTTCATAAGTTATGCAGGTCACATTTTTCTACATGTTTGCACTGTTTACAGTCCCATGGGAGTCCCATCAAAGTCCCATGGGAGCGGACTGGACCGCTTAGTCCCATTCTTGGCACTCCCATGGGACCACTCCCATGGGAGTTGGCAAGGTCTAAATTTACTATATATCTAATTTTTATATATATTTAAGACAACTTTATATAATGGTGGGCATCGTGGGCATGCCCGCCGTGGGCATGCCCGTGGGCCTTGGGCGTTATGGACGGGCACTCGAAAATCCAAATAGCCCAAGGCCCACCGTGGACGGGCGATGGGCACCTCCTAGGTGCCCATGGACGGGCGATGTCGCAGTCTAGTGAAATACAATAATACTGATATTTCTTATACTGAGGATTAAAGTTAGACTTCCGCACGACCCAGTTTGGGTCGAAGGTCTCGACCCAGAACCCAACCCAGTCTGGGTCTGGGTCGAAACCTCGTAACCCAGGACCAACCCAGACCCAGTGACTGGGGCCCCAGAAAACCCAGTTTAGGCCCAGTTCGACCCAGTTTGTGCATAATTTATACTTAATTTTTGCATTAATTTATGTCTTTGTAATATCCAATACACCTAATATAACTTACTATACTAAAGTTAATAGAGATTTTATATTATAAGCTTATATATATACCTATTATATCTATATATTACTTAAAAATATTAGAATAGAATTTAAAAAGTGGGTGGGTTTTCTTATTGTTATAAAGATATATATATATCCTGCAGAAAGGTACATCACTTTCTTCATATACCATGTAATTTATTTTCAACTTCAAAACTAGAATTTGTATAATTCTAAACTTACATAGATATAAATTACTATTAAATATATATATATTAATTAATAGATACTAATATTACAAAGGTTAATACTACAATTACAGCATTCAAACATTGTGTATTTTTCATAAAAGTGTGTTTGCACTGTTTATAACCCAGTTTGGGGCCCCAGACCCAGTACTGGGTTACCCAGCCCGACCCAGACCCATTACTGGGTCGAAGGGTTCGACCCAAAACCCAACCCAGACTGGGTTGGGTCTGGGTTGGGTCTGGGTTTTACTGGGTCGTGCGGAAGACTAATTAAAGTATACCATCGAGTTGTTCCGTTAGATAGCGATTGGTAGACTTTTTAAGCAGAGGTAGGATCCATATCTAGTATAACATTGCCCCAAAATGTCGAGCCTAAGTCTCGACGTAATTCCCAGATTAGCGGAAATTTGGGAACGGGGAGGCGCAGGTACAGCTTCGCAGCCCCTGATCATCAAAGGGATGTGGGGGCCGGAATAATCACACCTCCGCAGGCGCCGCATGATTCATTCCTTCTGCCTTCTTCACAAACCTTTATCCGACACAACTTCGCCAGTGGCAGGACTGGAAGCACCAAAGGCGGTTGTCCAAATATCAATACCAGTCTTCTGCCTACCCCCGGAACTCGGGGTTAGACCTTAACCTCTCCTTGCCGAATCCTTGCAGAGTTTTACCTAACTACATGGCACTCTCCGAACACGCAGCGTCGCTGCTAGCCACCTTTTCTCTCCTGACCGCGACGATCAGTTACCTCATCAGTCCTAATCTACAAAAATCGTTCCTTCAAGGTGTCAAATGGAACATCTGGTTTTTCTCTCCATTCCGGTCCGGTGCAATTGCCACGAATGTAGTCACCCTGTTAATCGGCTACAGAATGTTGAACATTGCTGAAACACATGTTGGCCTAGCGCTCCTCGTACACAATGGTTTTCCACCTCATCTCGGACATGGGTCCTGGTCGTGTTTCGCACGGCGTGCATTTCTCACTGGAGCAACTCTCCCCTTGTACATGATGCTGCTAGCGTCAACGCAGGATCGAACGAACCAAGTCATTACGACGTCATTAATCGCACAGACCATGCTGGCTGAGCTCTCGACGATTTACAGTGTGGCTTCGTATGAACTCCGTGAAGGCTGGCCTCGCCGTGTATTGGTGGAGGGATCTGTCTTTTCTGCCGATCGTCTCACACAAGACCATGGCAAAAACAAGGGCGAAGCGAGTAGATCTGAGAAAAGAAACGAGCATAGAAACATTGCACCGACCCCTGTTCTAACAGATAATCTCTGCGATCGCATACGCCAGCTCTCACTATCAGCGGCTGAACCATATGCCAAACCCGCCTCACAGTCCTTTCCTTTAGGGCAGACTTCCAAATTAAAAATGGTCTATGATCCAAATGTCCCCGCCCAATGGACGTGTGGGCACTGGCGTTGTCTAATTTACGTGATCTTGCACATATCTGTGCGTGCAATCTGTTGGTCGTGGTCATTGATCGAGGTTGGGTCTACCACCTGGCTTTTACACTGCGAACTGGGGCCAGTGATTCTCCAACTTGCCGGCAGGTTGCTGGAAGGAAACATCTTAAATGGCGTGCTCTCCACGCTATACGACTTTTGTGCTGCTTTGTTCATATTCCTATTCGTCTACATTGCCTCCATATTACTAGTCATCCGCCTTCTCTTTTTTACGCCCCTGGTTACTCGTCTGGTTGACCAAATCCATATCCTACAACGGATCCAGTGGAAATTCCAAGACCTTGCCGAAGTCGCTCCAATCATCTACCAGGTTCTCAAAGCCTTAATTATACTCTTCCTACCTGGAATTTCGAGTTATTATGGAGCTCTAGCCCTAGCATCACGTGCTATCGGTTTAACACAGGAGAAACTCTCGTGCGTTCTCGAGATCATATTGATTTTAATCCTTTACATTACAGTATACCGCCTTGCTGTTGTTTCGGAGCCAAATGCAGCCCCTGACAGCAGTTCAAACACCACTGGCTCAGGCCCGGCACACTCTGATCAAAAGGAAAATACGGGCTGGGCCGAGTCTGGATTCCCTCAAAATCCGGAGGAACTTTTTTCTGTGATATTCCGATTATCTATTGTCGTCCCCACCTTGGCCGTTTGGATTTTCCTTTATCGTTAAACTGCAGTGTCGACGTCTGTAGTAATGCAGCTGCGTCTATTAGCCGAATACAGGCACATATTAGAACCTCCTTTCTATGATATTTATATATTTTATATTTTTTGGACAGACTTATAGTATATATAAACTTATATGTGAAGCCCGTTTATTTTTATCTATTTTATTTAATTCTATCCTATGGGGGAGGGGGGAGTGATTCTATTAGCCGAATACAGGCACATATTAAAGCCTCTATTCTATGATATTTATATTTTTTATATTTTTTAGACAAACTCATAGTATATATAAACCTATATGTGAAGCCTGTATAATTTTATCTATTTTATTTAATTCTTTGGAAGGGGTTGAAGTTTGTTAACTGGATCTAGACCTGGCACTGCACCTCGGGTAACCCTACCGACCCTGCACCTGCACCTCCATTTGGGCGGTGTAGGTTCAAAGATTCCGACCCTCAGGTGCGGTAGGTTGAGCACCGCACCTCATGAGGGTAACCCTGAGGTGCCCCTGAGGTGCGAAAACTATGACTAATATGCTAGAAACGTGACTTGGGGGTAATTGCATAAATTATGTAGAATTGGGCTGTATTCTTTTGTAATTGTAAGCTAAAGATTTATTACTGTATAGCCTTACAAGAGGATTGAGTGCATATCATAGGTCATAGTTTCATGTTTGAATAGGGCTTCAATTCTCACATTTGCAGTGATAATATCTATTATACAGTATGTTCTCAAGAGTTAAACTATTAAGTTATATACCCATCCAGTAGTCTCGATTTCTTCCGCATCCTACCTGATACACGATGCTGTGTATCAGGTAGGTCAGGCGACACGGAGACCCTGCCCTTATCTATCTCCGGAAGTTCATCGCCTTCAGATTCCTCCTCATCACCAGAAAAGACCATAGGGCGCTTCCCGGCAGCAACTGCTAAGAGTGGTGGTATATCATGATGTACCTCAACATCTTCCTCATCATCACTGATAGCGTCGAAGGAGTGTGTCTGGATGTCAAGTGCTTCAGCTGAAGCTGCCATTTCATGATCCATAAGATACTCTTGCAGAATTAGCCGCTGCTCCTCCTTCAAGTCAAATCTTGTTGTACACATATACAACATGATATCGCGAATAGTCTCTGGGTTTAATGAACCCCGGCGGTAGTGGCATATATCCCGGGCAGAGTTAAAAAGACGTTCAACTCCAGCACCAGTCGCTGGAATTGACATGATATCACGGGCAATGCGGGCAAGAATAGGGAACTCTCTTTGATGATTCTTCCAGAAGAGTCTAGCTGAACCATCGATAGTATCTAAGAATATTAGTTTTATGATCATATAGACTTAGTGCTAACTTACCACTCTGGAGATATTTAGTGAGCTCGTCATATTGCGGACCAGTTGATCCCTTTGAAAGATCACGCCCACATGCCCTCTCAAGCTCTGACTCGGTTGTCATTAAATGGCTATCAGACTGAACCATATCTGATGGTACATGTTGGCGATACCTCTCTAAAAGTGACTGGAGACTCTCACGGTATTCCTTTCTGTAGTCCTTTCCAGTCTCTGGATCTGGGTCCCAATCACTTGTTGAAAAGAATTGCATTTTGTTCGACGGTGCTAGGATTGTCCCAATTGCGTAGAGATCACCCTCAATACTATCAGTCATACCATAGTATTTGATCAATTTCTCTTTTGCAGCTTCAAGGGAAGAGAGCATCATTTGTTTCCAGTGAACCTTCTTCCGCTGAAGTTGAGATATTGACCTTTCAAGATGATCAAAGAGCTTGTTGTAGATCCTGAAGACAAGGTGGATACTCGAGTCTTTGGTACGACATACCAATGTGGTGAATGTAAAAAAGGCTGGAGGATACAAAGTAGATAGTCAATCTGTCGCCACCCCTCTGAATTTAATGCGAAATAGGGTTGATTGAAGTCCGCACAGTACGAATTGTACGTAGTATAAAGTCTTCTTGCCCGCCGGAGCATTAGGAACGTCGAGTTCCATCGTGTACGAACATCCTGGATTGGGAGGAGCTGTGACTGAGTATTGGACTGGAGGTTTAAGAAGTTTTCTTTGCGTTGAGGGCTCCCGTTGATAAAAACTGCAAGACCTCGGACCTATAAGTAATAGTTAGTATTATTCACAGTTCATAAATAGAAGCATACCTTGTTTAATGTATCAGCGATCTCATGCTTCTGTTGGCGCGAGCGGAGTTGACGTAACCGATCGTCAGGTAATTCTGACTCAGCATTATCATTCCTCGGCGAAGCCTTGATCTTACCAAGTAAATCAAGTAGACTCAGTTGAATGACATGGGCAAGACAAGGCACTTGAACAATTGTCGAATCTATCTCCGGGTCTGACTGTAGATCCTTGATTGACTCATTCACCGCTGTGATAAGTGTCTTATTATTAGACGCATTATCAGTTGTCACCGCTAGTATACGGTGAATGATCTGGTGCTGTTGTAGAATTCGAATAACAACTTCACCAAGGTTAACGCCAGAATGAGTACCAGAAATTGGCTCAAAGCCAAGGAGTACCTCACGATACTCCCATTCCTGGTCTAAAAAGTATCCTGTGATAGCCATGAAGGCATGTTTAAATGGCGAAGTCCAACAGTCAAGGGCAATCGACATCTTTGCACTGGGTGGGAGCTGTTGTAGAGTCTTTTGTTGAGACTCTTTGACGAACTCTCGGAGACGCTCACGAATAACCTTTCTTGATGGGATGCTTGGTAGTGTAGGTGCTAGTTGGGCGTAAGAGATAAGGTCGTGGAATTCTTGATGCTCGACAAAGAGGAAGGGTAAATGTGATACAGTGATCAGATTAAGTAGCTTCTGCTCCCATATTTGCTGTGTAAAGGTAGGTACTGGTCTTCTCTCAGCCTGAAATATAGTTAATTAAGGATTCGTCTTAATATTCAACAAGAAATATAGGTAAACATACTGCGTCACTAAGTAGCTGGTGGACACTACTAGTTCCCTGGAGTGCCTGCTTCGGTACTCGTTGTCTACATCTTGGACCATCAAGGTGCTTCTGCATTGTTGATGTCCCTGTATGATTCGTAGCTGGATGCGCGAGAACTGTGCGACAACGTTTGCACATAACGCCTGGCTTTCCATCTTTGGTGTTTGCAACTTGTTGGAACCCTTTCCAGCAATCTGCACGACGTTTGGTAGGACTTATATCCCAATTGAGATTTTGCTTCGACCTACCATAGCCAGTCTTAAGCCACCAATCCACGAACTCCTTTGTCATTTCTGGTGTACAGATAATGAACTCGTTGATACGGTCAGGCTTAATTCGCGCAAGGGTGTCTGGAGCGAGTGGTGAAATGTGTGACTGAGGGCTAAGAAGGTCTGGAACTGATCCAAACTGGCTTTCGGATTGGTATTGGCTCCGGCTCTGGCTCTGGCTTTCGCGTTGGGAGAGGGAGTCTTCGGGGAGGAGGAAGTGTAACGCGTCATATGGCACCCCGTCTTGACTATCGAAGTGAGACGATGGGTAGATGTCTGAGAGCTGAGACATAGTAGGTTCAGTTAGCTAGATACTAGAGAAGAAGAAGATAAAAAACGTACTGATTGCTTTACATGAAAAGATACATGATCTTCTTGGGGCCTCTGTTTGACCCTGTTCAAGATGCTAGAATTGATCTATCATCTTGAGTATCTATAAGTAGATCCTATTGGCTAGTTCAGTGGGTAATTTGTATAGTAACCCTACCGCACCTCAGTGCACCTCACCGCACCTGAGGGGTAAACCTAATTAAACCTCATCGCACCTCGGTACACCTCGCTACACCTCAGGGGTAAACCTGAATAAACCTCACTGCACCTCAAAGTAACCCTCAGGTTGAGAAAATATTATAATCAGAACAGCTAAGTCTAACAACTGGGAAGTTTGAACTCAATTCATGATGTATCTGTGTTAGATATTCTTAATTCTCTAAGACAACATGATAGAAGAAGATTTGACGGTTACAATGATATCAAAATAAGGTGATTTTGACAACATCTTGAAGTTCTTTACACAAAACTGTAGTTATGCCTTTGAAGATACATAAGGTAAACAGCATACTCGATATATATATCTGCAACTTTACATGCTGTTTTGTCAATAACCCTTATTGACCACTTCCAACGTCGAATTTCTTTGTATTTATTTAGAGTTTATAGGTAACAATACCTACTGTTTACTTTTACATAAGTATTTGTTCATAAATCCTTATGTTGATAGAGTATTCACTGATATGGCTTCAGGCTGACGGAACAGGTGTAAAAAACAGAGATGAATCATCCATTTTATCCAGCCAAAAGGGGTAAGGTGTCAGAAATTTATGCATATGCGGGTTGATGAGGGTAACCCTGCACCGAACCTGTCGACCCTCAGGTGCGGGTCAGGTGCGAAGGTCCGCACCTGAACCTCCTGAGGTGCAGGTGCAGGTGCGGAGGTACTGCACCTGTGGGCGGTGTAATGCCAGGTCTAACTGGATCGGTAGCTTTAGTTCAAAATTCCGAATCGGGTTAGCGTTTAGTCGAAAATTCCCAAAAGGGAAGCTTTGGTCTAAAATGCAGAAGTTATCATCTGAACTGAACTTCTGTATTTTAGACCAAACCGAACTTCTGTATTTCCGACCATCGCCTACTCCCACAAATTTGACCACGCTATATATCAGTTTTAAGATAAAAAAGATACTAATTAGTACTTCTAATAGTTAATTACTACTATATAAGTATAATTTCTGCTTATTAAGGGAGAATATAGTCTGAAATGTAGTAGTTAGGTATAGTTAAAATAGATTATAATCTGATTGTTACCAGCCAGTTCTTTAAACGAAAGAGTGCATTTCAACGAAAATACTAAGTACAGAGAGTAAAAAGAAAAGGAAGAAGAGGATTGGTGGGCACAAAGGTCCTTTGTGGGGCCTTTGTGCAAACCATGCAAACACCATCCTCCACGTGTCTCAACCCGGCAGGCGGTAAGCAACGGCAGAACTGCAGTTGTTGTGAAGGGCTGAAGCTTTATTGATTCAATTAGGCTAGGCCAACATGCTGTTTACATCAATCTTAGAGAAAAGGTAACTATCTACTGGCGATGGGGGTTTATGTATGTTATGGGCACGTGCCTCACGTGATCCAAGCCGGGCTCTGGCCCGTTACAGTACCCCCCTTTAGATTGATCCTCACAATAGGCACGATGATGTCGCCGTCGGCGTTGAAACGGTGCCGAGAGGGCCTCGGAACGGGCCCGTATCGTCGTTCGTAGTCATCAAGTGCTGAGCAGCTCTCAACCAGATCCAACCTCTCCCATGTCGTTTCTGCATATCCCACCCATTTCACCAGAACCTCAGTCTGTATTCCCCTACCAACTCGTTTCTCCCGTGTCGACAATATTTCTTCAACTTCGTACTCCAGCTCGCCACCGACTAGAACTGGGGGTGGCTGCGAATCGTCCACGATTTGTGACGGAAACGGGTCCGTTGCGGCAGGTCGAATCAACTCTACGTGGAAGACTGGGTGTATGCCAGAAGGCACATTGAGGCGCACAGTGTGGGACGTAGGCACCTCTTCAACTTGGTATTGTGCATGAATCCAGTCTAGTTTCTTCGACGGGCGCTGAGAGCGCACGTTTCGTAGGTTCAACCATACCCGATCTCCTACATAGTAGGTAGGTGCTGCTTGCCGAGATCGGTTTGCATATTCCTACTGCTTCTCCTGCGCTACTGCAATCGCTGACTGTGCCCAATCGGTGGCTTCTCGTAGTCGATTCACGAACGTTTCGCCAGCGCGTGCGGGCTGAGTCATCATTGTTCCGAGAGCGTTCGTACTACTGTCTTCGATTCCTAGGGGGTCGATATGATACCCATAGGTAAAGAAGAACGGGGATAAACCTATTGAGGAGGCGTCTCGGTTGTTAATCGCGATAGCTACTATTAGTAGTAGCCCTATCCAGTCGTCCTGAGCGTAGGCAATAAACGTTCGCATAATCCGTTCGACCTCTTAGTTCGCTCGCTCTGTTGCTCTATCTGATTGGGGGTAGAAGGCGGTAGATAATCGTCGCTGAATCGATAGTTTCTCGCAGACGATTCGCCAGAACCCACCTACGAATTGCGAGCCTCGGTCGCTCGTGATCGTTAGCGGGAGTCCGTGGTATATATAGAAATGCGTTAAGAAGACTTCCGCTACCCGTCCTACCGTGATTTCTATCATACCAATTAAGATAACCCCTTTTGTCAACCTATCCGTTATAACCAATAGATTCGTGGCTCCGTTTTCCTTCGACGGGGGTAGGTCTATGATAAAATCTATTGCTATTTCGGCCCAGATTCGTTGGGGAATCGGTAACGGTTTTAACAACCCGTGTTTCGTATCGCGCCAGACTGTGCTCCTTCCACATACCGTACAGTTTCGTAGGAATCGTCGTACATCTTTGGCTGCGCCGGGCCAGAAGAACCGTCGAGATAGTATCGAGTATGTAGCGTCTCGTCCTGGGTGCCCGGTGATATAAGAATCGTGAATCTTCTGGATGATCCCTGTGCGTAATGGCTCGCTGTCTGGGATCTATAATCGCTAGCGGAAATATAGTAGCCCTCGTTCATCGAGGTGACATTCCGATAGGCTAGTCTTCACGCCCGTTTCGGCGGCGATTCGGCGGTCTCCCTGCTGTAGAGCTTAGGAGTATAGCTGATATATGCCATCTGTCGCCCTGCCCTTCTTCCATTCCTCCTGTAACTCGGGTTCTTCAAAGAGGGAAACTGGGGTATTGAAGTCTAATCGCGCTTCTTCCTCTAAGGCATCGGTAACTACTTATCTTAGTCTGCTCAGTCGAACCGAGACCTTTTCGAAGAGGGTTCGGAACCGATTCGATAGTCGTTCGTCAGTAGCATCCTGTGGCATATCTTGGCCCCGTCGTAAGAGTGCATCGGGAAGTACTGCGAGCTTCCCAGGCCGATAGTATAACGTGAAGTCGAATTCTGCCATTAAGCCTGCCCATCTCATCTGCCGTTCACTAAGGTGCTGCGCTTTGTTAAAGTATCGTAGGTTTTTATGGTCTGTTACGATAGTGAATCGTGGGACCATCTTCAACTTAGGCCTCTATTCCCGTAGTGCGCGTATAATCGCTAGCAACTCCTTATCGTGAATCTCGTAGTTCGACTCTGCTGGGGTCAATTTCTGCGAGATATAGGCACAGGGGGCCAACTGGCCGTCGTCTTGTCGTTGAGATAGTACAGCTCCCGTAGCCCATCCGGATGCATCGGTTTCTACTACCGTCTCTCTTTCTTCTTCGAAGTGTGCTAGGATTGGGGCGTTAATAAAGAGGTCCTTAAGTTCTGTAAAGGACTGCTGGCAAGCTTCATCCCATTGGAACACCACGTCCTTCTTCGTAAGCCGGGTCAACGGTGCCGATAAGGCAGCGAATCGGGGTATAAACGATCTATAGAAGTTAGCGAATCCGAGGAATCCGCGTATATCGCGTACTGATTTCGGGGCTTCCCACGCACGTATTACTTCCACTTTCTTCGGGTCCACGTGAATTCCCTCGCCTACACGGATAATGAATCCAAGGTATTTAACAGAGCTCTGTTCGAACTCCGACTTTCCAATATCGCATTGCAACCCCGCGTCCTTAAGCTTCCGTAGCACTTCGTATACTTTTCAGCGGTAATCCTCTATTGAACCGCTAGAGTAAATGATAATGTCGTCGACATACGCTGATACAAAGTCGTCGAGGTACTCTTGTAGGGTTTGGTTGATAAACCGTTGGAATGTCGCTGGCGCTCCGGTGAGGCCAAAAGGCGTAACATTCCACTCAAAGAGGCCGTATCGGGTACGAAACGCTATCTTCCATTCCTCTCCTGGTGCTACCCGTACTTTGTGAAACGCTGCGATAATATCCAGTTTCGTAAACCACTTCGCTTTCGCCATATTCCGTAGGGTTTCTCGGATAAGGGGTAGTGGATAGCGATCTTTTACGCTTAGGTCGTTTAACCCCCTATAATCGACACAGAATCGAACTCCCCCGCCCGGTTTCCTCACTAGGAGTACTGGGGCGGCTACAGGTGACTTGCTAACACAGATGAAGTTCTTATCCAGTAGATCTGTCAACGTTTTTCGTAGGTATAAAAGCTCATCTTTATTCATTCCGTATAGTGGACCGTAAGGCGGGTATTCTTCGTTACTATTTCGGTCGCGATTCAGTGGTATCTTATGGTCGATTCCAGGTCGATATAGTAGTAGCTTATCAGCTAACTGTTAGCTAAAGACATCCAGCCATTGCCAGTACCGTTTCGGTAGCTTTTCCTTCAAATCGACATGCTTCTTAGGTCGTAGTGCTTTGTCGATATCGTCTAGCGTGACTTTCCCAATCTGTAGGCGATCCGGTCGAGGGGTACTATCGAATAGCTGCCGAATCGACTTAGCTGAAGCGCGGTTAACACGTAGTGCTTTTATACCGACCGGTCCGATAGTCCTATTCTTTCGATTCCAGCATCTAGTTTTCTCTCTGGTTTTAGAGAAAATGTCTATATATCCTTTGTTCGGCGAGTATATTCCATCGACGTCCTTGATCCACGGGAGGCCAAGAATGATTTCGTCTATCTGGTCCTCAATGATATACGCAAAGATCGTACCGTTCTAGTAGCCGTGGATATCCGTATTGAAATACGTGACGTGGGTGATTCGGCCCTGATTCGCTACCACTCCGTCTAGCTGTCGGGGACGAATCTGTATGCGCGGAAGGTCGAGAGATTTAGCGAGTACTCTATTTACTGTTGCGTAGCTTAGACAGCTATAATCGACTAGTGCTTCTGCAAACTGGATCCTATTCACTCTAACGTCAACTAGGAACGGTGGTTCCTCGCTTCTGTCTAGTTTCTCGACCCCCTTTCGCTCCTACTCGCGGCTAAGAACAGGAGCTACTCGTTTTCCGACTCACTATTGGTCTGTACGCTCTCTTCTGTCGAACTAGGTTCGGTATCTTCCTCGACTACTGCTCGCGATTTCTTGATACGGGCGGTTCGTTTATATTTCGGCGGCTTTTCGCTACTATCGCGATCCTCCTTCCTTTTCGGCTTACTTGCCGCCACGCGGTTTTTCTGCTCTAGGCGTCTTACTAGTAAGAGCGGGCACTCCGAAATCCAGCAGCCGGGCTTTCCACAACGTAGGCAGCGGCCTTCTTCCCGGCGGCTGCTTATCTCTTCTTCACTAACCCATTGTGCTCTCTTTGGTCGTTCGTGGCGTTCGCGACTGATTCGTCGGTGATTCGCGTGCGGATCGACGCGGTTTACCGATACCGTCGGGGTCCAATCCATTTCATCTACAGATTTCGTAGAGCGGCGAGTGGGCGGTTTACTTATATTCAACGCGTCCATATCTATGCTAATTTCGTGAAGACGGGAGATTAAGCCTTAGAAGGTGGCGGGTATACCACGATTCATCAGCGAATTGCTCATAGTTCGATTTAGGGAACCGAGCAAGATCTATCGCTTAGCTTCGTCGGGCCATTCTAGTGCTCCAGCGTCGGCGAACTCCTTTTCTAGCCGTGGTAGGAATTTCGAGAAAGCCATACCTTCAGATTGATTGATCTGGTGAAGGCGTCGGGCAGCCCGTGCTTGTGCGTTTGGGTCACCATAGATCTTTTCTAGGTAATCTAGGAGCTCTTCCGGGGTACCGTCGTTTCGTCGGTGTTTCACATACGTCCCGGTGCTCTTCCAGGCGAGCTTCTATTAGCCGAATACAGGCACATATTAAAGCCTCTATTCTATGATATTTATATTTTTTATATTTTTTAGACAAACTCATAGTATATATAAACCTATATGTGAAGCCTGTATAATTTTATCTATTTTATTTAATTCTTTGGAAGGGGTTGAAGTTTGTTAACTGGATCGGTAGCTTTAGTTCAAAATTCCGAATCGGGTTAGCGTTTAGTCGAAAATTCCCAAAAGGGAAGCTTTGGTCTAAAATGCAGAAGTTATCATCTGAACTGAACTTCTGTATTTTAGACCAAACCGAACTTCTGCATTTCCGACCATCGCCTACTCCCACAAATTTGACCACGCCATATATCTGTTTTAAGATAAAAAAGATACCAATTGGTACTTCTAATAGTTAATTACTACTATATAAGTATAATTTCTGCTTATTAAGGGAGAATATAGTCTGAAATATAGTAGTTGGGTATAGTTAAAAATGGATTATAATCCGATGGTCGAAAATGCAGAAGTTCGGGTTGGTCCAAAATGCAGAAGAAGTCGTTCAAACTGAACTTCTGCATTTTCGACCATCCCATTCTCCTGCATTTTCGACTACGGCCAACTTCTGCATTTCCGACCATCGCCTACTCCTAGATTTAGACCACGTCCAATTTCTATTTAAATCAACTTTAGATACTAGTTGGTGCTTCTAATAGTTAATTACTACTATACGAGTATAATTTCTGACCGCGGTCAGAAAATCTGGCTGGAAGGTCTCGTAGTGCTTATAGTAGTACGAGCTCTTCTTCTGTATTATATTATCATAAGAAACAGACGATTCAATGCTTAATTCACTAAATAATCCCGCACACTAAATGTCTAAGCTTTCATCCTGCCTAATACCAATACCAATGTCCGTCGGTTTATCAGCTTCTATATATTCGGTACCCGCAGTAAGGCCACCTACTTCAGCATCAGGGGGTTCCGGGGTACCTAGGGGACGCTGGGACCTAGCATCTTCGATACCATCACGAACGAACTCCGGGATCGTAGACAGATTTCGTTCCCTCCGGTAGAAGTAGGAATTCTCCCCAAAGGCATCCTTCTCAGCTAACACGAGGTTTTCAAACGCATCACAGTAGAGCTGCTGGGCGTTACGTCTCCAGGACTGCACATAGCCCCAAGCCATATCATCGTCGTCCCCGAATAAAACATCCAGCTCCCTCCGTACATCTACTGTATCCCATCGCGTCTGGCCCACCAGGGCATCTGAAATCGCCCCCAGGCGTCCCAGCCGCACGGTCGCGGGAAATATATGATCCACCCGACCACCGTACGTGCTGTTCGGCAGACCGGAGGGTGTCTTGGTACCCGAGTCGAAATCCCGATGGCAGCGCGAGAGGTCATCCCAGGTACCCGACTCCGCGGTGTCCAAGGTTTGGTGATCATCGCCGATCGCAACGAACCAGGGCAGGATATTAACACGGTGGGCAGTCGCCGGGCCGGTAGACCCGTGAGGTAGGCCAGGTAAACTTAGCCGGACATCCCCAAACCGGCAGACCTGCTTAGTCCATCCATAGCCAAAGTGGGCCTCATCATCCTCGGTCCACATGTCGGCGTCAATCCGCTGCACATACCCATCCTTGGCATACCCTCTGTCGACCAGCCGCCTATGCCACGTAGCGATCTCGCGATGCATCCCTAGGAGTAACTCGGTGCAGTTGCCGCTATCCTCGTCGGAGAGAGCGAGACTCCCTTAGAGCGCATTGACCCCCCGCCCACTGCGGACAAAGTCGATGATATTGACGTCAATATGGCGAAAGAAGGTACGTTCTCCGGGGTATATCCGTTTGGCATAGTAGGGGAATGATACCAGCTTCCACGCATGATCCGGACGGCATCGGACGTAGAACGCATAGTATGCGGGGTCCTGTCGAACCATCTGCTGTACTAAGCTAAACCACATATTCCTAGCCCAACCAATACGAGGCTTAGACGGGCGGGCCAGGTAATGCCAGTCGTACATATTGAATTCCTCCATGATCAGATGCCGTAGGCCACCCGGGTGATTCCCGTCGAAATCCTCCCCCAGCCATTCAAACAGCCCTGGTAGCACAATACTTCCGTCTCGATCTAGCTGCTGCCCGAGGTCCCAAACCGCAGGGTCGGCGTCTCGGCCGCAGCAGCGCTTATACAGTCGAGCGAACGTTAGCGATTGTATCAGCACCGGGTTCGCAACCCTCGGCATACCCGAACCCGCAACCGGGAACCGCCATCCCGATTCTAGATTACTTGTCACGTTTTTAAACCAACCCTTATACCGACCTTTCATCTGATCCCATTCCCCAAGATTTGCATATAGCTCACGCAACCGCCGGAGTAATTCTTTGTACGGGTTACGACAGTAAAGGCCTAAGCGTTTACATAGCCCGTGGGTATGGAGATTGCAGAGAGATAGTGATGGAGAGGTATATGCAGCACTCCGGGTCGCCATTGCTTTTCCAACCTGTCGGAGTAGCTGCTTCTTGAGGGTATCGGTAGGGAGCTCGGTCCCCCTTAGAAGACGCCGAATTGCGGCATTTGTAAGAGCACAGCCACAGCTGGCAAGTGGGTTCTTAGGAGTTAGGCGTAATCGCTTTTGAGGGCGAGGAAGAGGCTCCTCGTCGTCCTGCTCGTCGTCGTCGTTATCGTCCTGGTCGTCCTGCTCCTGGTCGTCCTGCTCCTCGTCGTCATCGTCCTGGTCGTCCTGCTCCTCGTCGTCTTGCTCCTCGTCGTCCTGCTCGTCGTCAGATAGAACAGAGGGGGTTGATGGCAAAGATGACAACGGTGATAATATTGATGATGGCGTCTCGTCGCGGGGTCTCTTCTCTAGGGACTCCGGGGGGTCTATAGCGTTCGCGGCCCCCGCAGGTTGTACTAGCGGTACTGGTGGTATTATGCCCGTAGCCCGTATTTGGCAACCTGGTCGAATTGAGCAGATAAATCCATCCATATCTACCCCAAGCGCGAGCGTGTATAGGGTTTCAGGATTGAGAGGTTCGAAATTCCGCTGCGCTAGCGCTACGTCGAGATCAATTTGCATGATTCGAGCATACTGGCGAATGCCACGGCCACGTCTAGACTTCCGGTACACAATCGCGTTGTTGATAGCAGCTTGGAGCTCAGGGTACGATAGCCCCTCACTGATAGTCTTACTGACCTTTCGGAGCATGGCGTAGCTTCCTATGCGTATCAGAAGAGTGTTGGCCCGCTGCTCGCCCCACTGGAGGATCGCTCGCTTCCGTACATTCGCCTTAAACCGATCGAGCCCTTCCTGGACTTTTATCGCATCCCGTGTGACCTGCCATGAGTCTCGGAATGATTCCAGGCTTTTTTCATGCATCCTCCAGAACTCTCCATGTTCAACAAAGTCATGTACCTCTTGTAACGACCTTACAGCGTCCCCCATGACGCCGTGGGCATGATCCTGGATCATCAACGCGGCCGGGTAAATATCCCGGGGCGACAGGGTTTTGATTATCGTGAGCCCTTCCGCAATTGACCTCACATACTGTCCGTTGAGATTTAGCGTTGCGGCGAAGGCAAAGGATTGGTCTATCGCCTCATATGCGTTGGGGTCACTGCTCACTGTTGACATGGCGAAGTCAACCGAGATTATCAAGTTTGAAATCCACGTAAATACGCTGGTTCAAGTAGAAACTACGTAAGTTCTCTCCTCAGTATCTTAATATAACTGTTTGTACGTCTTAGTATTGCATAGCTAATAGTATTTTCGCGAAAAAAGACTATAAATAAACTCAAAGAGCGAGTTTCTTTGACGCATAGCTATTAAGCGCTACCATTGAGCGCTGCCACTACGTAGTCGGGAGTATTTTCACGAAAAAAAGACTATAAATAATCTGAAAGGGCGAGTTTCTTTGGGCGAGTTTCTTTGGACGTATAGCTATTGAGCCCAGCCATTGAGTGCTGCTATTACGCAGTCGGGAGTATTTTCGCGAAAAAAAGACCATAAACAAACTGAAAGAGCGAGTTTCTTTCAAACATACCGGCAGTTGTCAAATATCACTAAACGAGTATAATTTCTGACCGCGCTCAGAAAATCTGGCTGAAAGGTCTAGTAGCGCTTATGGTAGTACAATATAGTACGAAATAGAGCGGTTGACTGTGGTCCAAAATGCAGTAGGTAGAGATGGTCAGAAATGCAGAAGTTCGGCTTGGTCGAAAATGCAGAAGTTCGGCTTGGTCCAAAATGCAGAAGAAGTCATCTAAACTAAACTTCTGCATTTTGGACCACGTTCAACTTCTGCATTTCCGACCATCCCCTTCTTCTGCATTTTGGACCACGTTCAACTTCTGCATTTCCGACCATCCCCTTCTTCTGCATTTTGGACCACGTTTAACTTCTGTATTTTGGACCACGTTCAACTTCTGCATTTCCGACCATCCCCTTCTTCTGCATTTTGGACCACGTTCAACTTCTGCATTTCCGACCATCCCCTTCTTCTGCATTTTGGACCACGTTAAACTTCTGTATTTCCGACCATCCCCTTCTTCTGCATTTTGGACTACGTTCAACTTCTGCATTTTGGACCACCTCGAACTTCTGCATTTCCGACCATCTCTATCTCCTACATTTTGAACCACGTTAAACTCCTGCATTTCCGACCACGTCAAATTGCTATATTTCTACCATACGCACGCAGTTGTTAATTTTCCCTAAACTAGTCTAATTTCTGACCGCGGTTAGAAATTATGGCTAGAAGCTCCAGCACCACTTAAAGTAGCATAATATAACCCAAAATGTAGTAGTCCTCCCTATCGGACCAAAATGTAGTGGTCCTGCATCCCGGACCACGTGGTCGTCCCGCATACCGAACCACATAGTCGTCCCGCATATCGGACTATATTGACCTTCTACATTTTGATATATCCTTATCACTGCTCAGTACTCCTAGGTATTAAATCACACTATACAACTACAGTTTCTGACCTCGGTCAGAAATTAGGCCTTAGGGGGGTAAGTGGTGCCCATAGTATTCTAATATTTTATGTCATGCAGTTTAACATCCTATATATATATATCCACCACGGTTGTCACGATCATGCATCCGCCTTCCTACACCTATTTTCTGACCTTGGTCAGAAACTACATCCTGATTTATTTTAGTTATTCTCTCCCTTTCCTTATACAAGCAACTCCCGGCCATAGATCTATTTAAGCTGCTGCCCCCCCCTGGCAAACCTTCCTCTGTATTTTCCCCAGACTATCCTGCTTTCGGCCGTCGACTATCAGACAAACAACTTCATATCTGCCAGGTATTTAAACCCCTGTCGACCCCCCTGCAAACCTTCTCCTCCATTTTCCCTACCGTCCGAGAGACCCTGCCGCCTATGATCATAGGACTGATCGCGTCTCTTTGACCAAGGTCAGAAAGCCAGCCTTTATGGCTCGTGTTGTGGCTTATCTTGTCTCGCTCCTTTCAGTTCCCTTCTAGTTTCACGTACCCCTATCTTCCCCTCGCCTACCTATTTTCCCTCCGGTTACTAACCAAGTTTCAGTTTACGCACTTTTCCCGTCGCGCCGTGCCTACCACGTCCAACCATGGCGCAGTCTCGGGCTAAGGAGGCGTCCCTAGAGAACGTCGGCACCATCAACATCTCTACTACCGCTATCCGCCGTATGGATGACTCTGCTCCCGCCATTGCAGGCGTCATCGGCTATCCCAATACCTAAAACCTCTACCGTCTGATCAGTGCTGAGTGCAATACGACCCGGGATATCATCATTGCCTTCTACCGAGATCGTGACAACAAATTTGGGTTTGCCAACTCGACCCAGGTCGCTCTAGGCCTCCGCTTTATCCGCAACTCCCTTGTTCTCCTTGCGGTTAACCATACCGGTAAATACGGCAGTGTCCTACTGTCCCTATCTCCCCCGGATCTGTCCACCCCCTATATGGAGCCCAATAATCTCTTTGACCTCCGTGCGCTATGGTACGTCCGCCGCCTTCTCCTCTCCCGCTCGTAGGATCTTGGCCGACGGAGCCAACTTCTTAAGACCCCCTTTTACTTCGACGCTAAGGAGACTCTGGTCTGCTGGAAGATCCTGATCTACTTCTCCCGCTAAATCTCAAAGGCTCGTAGTCTCGAAGCCTACCTCACCGCTACTCCTTACATCCGCCCCGCCGTCCCGCCTGAGCTTACGAGCTCGCGGCCTGGTCCCGCTAGTCTAACCTCCACTCTTACCCCTAGCTATAGTACGTCTGCCTAGTCCCGCGATGAGACGTAAGCCCTCCTAGACCTCCTCAAGCTATACCCCTCGGACCTTCCTAACGATGCTGACGAGGAGCCGCTTACTAGCTCTATGGATACCGTCCCTTCGGAGCCTGAGTACCGAGACCTAGTTGTTGGACTCACCACCCAGCTCCTTAAGCCTACCACCGCTCGGTTGAACCGCGCGCCTCTTACGCTCACTGACGTCCACGAGCTCTACCGCCACCTCTGTAGCCCCGAGTTCTTCAACAATTCGGTCCTTCGCGCTGCTCCCGATGAGGTCCCTCCTAGCCTGCAGCCCAATCCCCACCTGTAGACCGCGATCTCGTCGAGCTCGGCGTTAGTCGCTCTCTCTGTCCCCGATGTATCTCTCGGCCCCTCTACTGGCCATGCCGATGAGACTGCCGACGATAAGCCAATTCCACTGGCTGACCTAGCCGCGCTCACTTGCGCCCGGGATGTGTCCCTCGATCGTCTCACGTATCCCTTTGATCTCGTAACCCGCTATACGCAAATTCTAGTTAATAGCGACGGGCAGCCGGTACTTACCCCACCCTCCTTATACCCGGTCTCCTCTACGATCCTTAAGCCGTGGCAGGTTACGGGTGTGTCCTGGATGCTCTAGTAGGAGGCCAGCCCGCTCCACGGCGGGATCCTCGCTGACGTATGTGGCCTCGGGAAGACCCTAACCGCACTCACGCTTATCTACCAGGCGGCCCTCGTCCAACCCCGGCCCCCATACCGGCCTACCCTGATCCTAGTGCCCTCGGCCCTGATTGATACATGGCTCCTGGAGATCGAGCGCCACTTTGGGGACGCCCTGATAGTCCGGCTCTTCTACAGTGCCAAAACCCGTACTGGCGATTCCGAGCGTAAGCTGATGCTGCTCGAGTCACTCGGCGAGGTCCAAGCCTTCCTCGGCCGCTGCCCCCCCATCAAACCTCCTCGGCGCGTACCGTGATCCTCTTATCATACAATACCTAGGCCACGCGTACCACCACCGAGATCGACGAGAATGGCGCGCCGACGTACCGCGCCCGGAAGGCCACGCGGAAGGAGACCGACCCTATGGCCCTTGATCTTACTACCGCCGAAGCCGACGTAGATGAGGATATACCCGACCCCGACGACGTCGTGACCCCGTCGGTCTCGGACGAGCCAGGTTCCCCCAGTAGCGTACACACCCCGCCTACCGATAGCGTCGGCACCCCTTATCCCCCGGGCGTCAACGCCGCCGTCACTGAACTGAGCGAGCTCTAGGAGCAGGCGGCTAGCCCGTCCTCGGCAGGTAAGGCTACTGCGCACCAGCCCCGCCGGTTCCGCTCCGACCTCACTGCCTCTTTCCACCGCGTGATCTGCGATAAGGGCCACCGCCTGAAGACCATCTCCTTACGCCAGCACCAGTCGGTCGCCCTCCTCGACCGGCAGTATACCTAGTATCTGACCGCGACCCCCATATAGAACCGGGCGTTGGACTACTGCGGCTACCTGGCGTTGCTGTGGAAGGCGGAGTTTACCATCCCGGCTGATAGCCCGCAAAAGTTCCCTCCTAGTGTCACGCCCTCCCCGGCTGCCGCGAGCGACCCCCTGGAGCCGTATACCTAGTGGTCCGCGGTCGAGCAGCTTCCCCTCGAAGGTAAGCCATACTACTTGCTAGATCCCCGTGGTCTGGTGGTCCTAGCCCGGCGTGGTAAACTCTCCACTACGAACGGGTTCCTAGCCCTCCCTATCGTCCTACGTCTGAGCAGCCTGACCCGTAAGGCCGGTAACCAGATGATTGGGCCCCACGGTACTACGATCGTCATCGGCGACGACATCCCGCGCCTTCACATCTCGACCGTCGAGCTTCGGTACACCCGGTACACCCAGGATATCCATAACCGTGTGTTTAACATCCTCAGTGAAAGCCTTTACAGGCCCCCCAGCGATACTCCTGCCGCGGCCTCCGCCGCATCAGCGGATAGCCCTACTACCATGAACTAGGCCACCTTCCGGATACTCTGCCACCTCTCGGTATCGCCTAAGCTTGATCGGTTTTTACAACGCTCGCCCTCCAGCGTCCTCTCCGCAGAGATCTCTCGATTCACGGAGCGCGGGGACGATCAGGGGTTTGGCTTATTCTAGTCCCGAACCACCGAGGATCCGTCGGCGTCGGTGCCCACCAACCTTATCGCCGTGGCCCGCTACCTCGCGCATCAGAGCCCCCGTCTCCGTTACCTCCTCCATATCCTAGTGTAGTAAGGCGTCTTCAACTCGGGGAGCTCGCAGCCCCGGTTCCTGATCTTCTGCCACTGGCCCCTTACCATATAGCTGGTCCAAATGTTTCTCGGCACCCTCCCCCTTGACTTTATGGTGGTCCGGGCCGGTATACCCAACAGTCTGCGCTCAAACGCCATTGCCCGCTTTAACGACCCTAGCTCGTCCACGCAGGTCCTCGTTACCACCTACAACTGCGGGGCTACCGGCCTCAACATACACTCACAATGCAGCCGTATCGTCCTGATAGAGTCAGCTCTCAACCACAACTCCCTGTTCCAGACGATCGGGCGTATCCACCGCCTCGGCTAGCGGGAGGAGCAACGGGCGTGGCTGCTATTCATAGACCATACCATCCAGCGGTATATGGAGTTCAACAACACGACTAAGGTGCTTCCATAGATTGCGGCCCAATACCGCCCCTTCCTCGAGCGATAGGTCCCCGAGTCCACCGAAGACCGTGACGCGACCATTGAGTAACTAGCCAACCAACTGCTCAGCCACATGCTTGGCATCGGCCCAGACTACGTAGATCGGCTATCGATAGAAGACTACCAGGACCTTAGGCTGAAAGGCAAGAGTAAAAGCGGGCGACAGTACTCCTTACGCGGCTCCTCTAAGCGCCCAGCGGGCGGTCCTGACCACCCCCCCACGCCCAAGCGGATCGCCAAGTTCGGCGGGGACGGCGTGGACGATGAGGGTTACATAACTAGTTAGAGGGGCTATATCTCTGTCTCTCCGTCTCTCCTACCTAGTATAGGTTTTATGATTTGTCTCCCGGCGGTATATCTTTGCTTTTTCTCTTACTCGGTATGGGTTGATCTTTTAATCTCTAGCGGATCCCCTGAGCTGGTTACGTCTTTATTCTTTATTCATATGATAGGTTGTCTATCAGCCCTATAATATTCGAATTTCAAAAAAAGCACGTATTAGCCTACAGAACAAGGTTATCCCGCGTCATTGGTATATCGTAGGATATAGTGTAGAGTTTAGTATTCGCGTGATCGCGAAATCCCTAGAGGCGAAAGCTAGGTAGGCTCCCCTTTCTGACCGCGGTCAGAAAATCATACCGCGGCCAGAGGGTGATACGTCTACGGTGAAGTTAGAAGAAGAAATGAGCGGTTATGACTATTTGATATTACTATAATCGGCGATAGGGGCAGATACTAGAGTTGCTTTCTAGTAGTTTCTGACCTAGGTCAGAAAACGATACGTATTAGGCTAGGTAAGCACTGAGAAGTGAGAGATAGGTGAGAAGGGAGATAACTGAAGCGAGAGATGGGTGAGAGATAACTGAAGTGAGAGATGGGTGAGAGGGGAGAGATTATGTATACGTCGCGTCCTCTACTATCGTATACCTCGCAATTATTTAAGATCTGTAGATATAAAGATTCCTCCTAACTAATACCCTCTGATCTTCGCCGGTAAGCGGCTAGAAGATAGCCGTATATATTCCGACTACAACATTCAGAAGGAGTCCACATCGTCCTTCGCCTACAACCTCTCTGACTACAACATTCAGAAGGACGAGGTGGACCTCGACAATATCCAGAAGGAGTCCATATCGTCCTTCGCCTACAACCTCTCTGACTACAAAATTCAGAAGGAATCCACATCGTCCCTCGCCTACGCCGCAACTTATAGGTAGTAATTGATTTGCGATTCTCCCAAGGTCCTTTCTCAACTTCGATACCGGGGGAGATCCTATATAGCCTACATGGTGTTTGGTCGGTTTTCGAGGCTGATATGGTCGCGCTCGTTTACATTGCGTACACTATCCTCAACGATATGTGATAGATAGTTCTCTCCAATTCACTCGCGCTCGTTTGCATTACGCGTATTACTATCTCCATCTCCTATACCAGGACAGCTATAGATAGGAATACAATCATCTCCCCGTATCATGCCACGTAGCCTAATATATTTCAAGTTCCCTAGCCTAGTACGATCTCTGACCGCGGTCAGAAACCGTTATATGAACCATAGGCGTATCTTATTCTAGAAGTAATCTTTAGCTTAGATTGATATATATTGATTAGGCTTAGCTCAGTTAGATGACCCTGCCCCTCCCCCTTTTCCCCCTTAGCACTAAATAATCTCCTAGCCTCGTTTCTTTGGTATCTATGATGTCTATCTCTTTTTCTCGAGACTCTTACCCGTCTCCCCCCCCGTCTCCGCCATACGCTCCCTTCTCGAGGCCACAAACAGTTCTATAGGAAATCGCTCCGGATCTAATTCGGTAAGGATCTCCTCGATCGGCCTTAAAAATTCCTCCCGCGCTAACGCTCTCTTTTCAGCGATTCTCGTATATTCCCGTCGGCCAATTACCCTGGTACCCTAAACGATCTTACCTTTCTTTATATCCTTCATTTACGTATCATACTTCCAGACCTTCCGGAGCGCCGTCTTTGCTCTCGCCGCCAGTTCGCGGTACCGGGCAGACTGCTCGATAGCGCGCTGTTCTTCCCTTCGGATCGAGTTTAGATCCGCAAGCTCGTCTAGCTCCTCGGCGTCTACTTGCTTCAACCTCGGGAACTTTTGCAGCCCGACGGCCTCGCAGCGGGCTTGGTCTACCGCCCGAATCCGGGTAAAGATATCGTCGCTGTAGCTCGTTACTAGCCACGGCTGCCTGATCAGGTTCTCTAGGCTCCACCTCGCCTACTAGGTCAGCTTCCGTAGCGCGTACCGCGGCGGGTACCGCGCCCAGATCCAGCGTGCAATATCCCCCTCCTCATCTAGCGGCGGTATCAGCGGTCCCCTATCGGCCGTCGTGGCCGAAGTGTCCTCGTATACCCAGTCCTCATATACCCAGTCCTCAATGTTGTCGGTCGGTAGCGAGGGCAGGACTACCTCGACCCGGCAGCCGACTGGTAATGTCGTCCCAAAGGCCTCTGTGCTCCTCTCCCACCCCGTGCGAGGTAACGTCGGTAGGTCTGTCGGCGTCCAGCGGAATACTACCGGTTCGTGGTAGAGCTGCCCCGCCATCTCCCGGCATACGTACTGGACGAGGCTCGGGTGGGTACTGCACCATAGCGGGAGCCGGCCCCCTCTCCCCTTAGGCCAGAATTCGCGTTGGCTTGGGTTCGGCAGTACCCAGTGGGTACGGATAAAGGTGGCGTGAACTAGCCCCCGCCACTCCTATACCGTCTCGTGGGAGTACGTCGCTGCGATCGCGTCGAAGCTCCGACGAAATAGCTCGCGGTACGGCTTGGACGCCCAATGCTATCGCTGGACGAGCTCTCCCTGCCTCCCGTCACCGTCCCACCCCTAGAGGAACGCGAACATGGTATCGATGTGCTTAATCTGGATCCCCCTAGCGCCTAGCGGGTATATATGGTCGGCCAGCCGCCCGCCCGGTAGGACGTCACAGAGCGCCTCTATAGTTAGCGGCTGGCGGCCCTCGAGCGCCGCGGCGGCACGAGGCCCTCGGAGACGCTCGACGCTCGACAGCCGCTAGAAGACCTCTCGTCGAAACGCTATAAGGTAGAGATCGGCCAGGAGGACGAGGATCTTCCGCGCCCGGGGGCGGTGCCCCCAACAGGCCTCCAGCTGGCGGAATACGTCGTGGAGGAATACCCAGTCGTCAAGCAGCTGCCGTACTGCCCCGTAGCGCGGGAGATAACTTCCTAGGAGCGAGGGCAGCCGGATAGCGAGCCTAGCCCGGTACGGCTCCCGGAACAGCATCAGTCCCCAGTCAAACTTATCTAGGAACCAGGCGAACCTATACCGCTGTATAGTCTCCCTCTAGCCGAGGCCCTCGATGATCGTGCCGGTATCCTCGCCCTCCCCCGGCGGCTAGGTCCGCTCACTGATCCAGAGCTCCCGGCAGTGGGAGGGGGAGGCCCCTTATCCCCCTAGCCCGTAGTGTAGTACACGGAGAAAGGCCATCGCCACCCTCGAATATTCCCAGTAGAGCTGTCTTACCGGACTAATACTGTAGACGAGCTCTACTGCGAGGCAGAGACGGTTAAGATTCCATCTGAGCTATTAGACTGCGTCGTCGGTCGTATGGCAGTAGAACGGCGGTAGTGCAACATCCCTCGGGGGGGACATAGAGCACCCCGTTTCCTCCCTGTGCCTCTATCTCCCCGTTAAGCGCGGATAGCAGCGTCGCCGTTACCCGGTACTCCTCGCGGGTTCCGTACGATCGGCCCCGGGCCCCCTATAGAGCTAGGTGATACTGTGCCTTAGTATGGAGGTACCCACGGAGTAACGTGGCACGGGAGTAGGCACGGCCTCCGCCCGTATGCTGTAATACCTGGACGAGCGCTGCCGGGAGTGCGAGAGTATCCAGCGCCTCATTCCCAAACGGGTACTGCTTTCCTACCGCGAAGATCTCTTTGGAGGTATTGTATAGTTGTACGTATAGGAGGCCGGCCTGCCGGAGGGTCGATCGGCGTTTCGTCTCCACGGTTAGGCTCCCGGTATCTCGGAGGAGCGCCCAGGGCCAGAACTGTGACCGTACCGGCTTCGGTGACGGCGTAGTCGACTGAGTCGGAGCTGGAGATGGCGTGGAACTGTGTATAGGACTCTGCGTGGGACTCGGCGTAGGGGAAACTGGCTCGGTAGGCGATAGAGAGGGCGATAGAGAAGGTATGGTTGCTAGCTCGGTCTGGTTCTGAAGCGTCATCTCGGTCTGTACCAGCCATTCCTCGAACTGACTGAGGCAACAGCGGCGCCATGTGAGCTCTAAGGCATGCTGTGATCCGGTCGCTTCCTGGCCCAGGATCTGATTGGGAAGGCTTACCTCCTTTGCCACGTCGAAAAAGGAGCCTGTTATAAACCGATCATCTACCGCACCACGCCATATATTCCCCCACCCCCTGGACCATCTGTGACCAGGTATCCCGCCGCGTCTCGCCCTTGAGGTTCTTTGACGTGAGGAGCAGCCTCGCCTGGCCGTACTCGTTGGCCGTGTGAGCCATAGGGGGGAGGCGATCCTGGATCGCCGTCCATACGGCACCGAGAGCCGTAGGGCCGATAAAGTGCGTTAGGAGCTGGATCCGCGCTTGCTGGTAAGCCGAGGCTGTGGTACCCTCAGTTGCGGCTGCTGTTCCCCGTTTAATCGCCTCCTCCCCACTCCCCGGTAGCCGGCTGATGGTCTCTTGGGGTAGCGTCTGGACTAGAGCTGGGAGCATGATATGATCCATCCACTCCGAGTACTCCTCGTTGGTTAATACGAAGGCCTTCCGGGATGGCTGGTAGAGCCGAGGAAAGATGATAAAGATCTCCATAGCCTCAAAGCCGCGTAGCCGCCCGAGTGGGAGGTGTGGGACGTGGTGTACGGGGACGTGCCGGTGGTGTAGCCGCTGGGTATCGGTATCAGTCCACTCGACGAGGAGCGGGTCGAGGTGGAGGGAGCTGGTGAGGGTGCTTGTAGCTGGTCGGGTCGCTAGCCAATAGAGTCCCTGTCGCGCGACGGCGAGGCTCGTCGCCCACCCACCACTACTGTCGATGTCAAACGACACTGGTAGCGTTCGAGGCACCGCTGCGTTCGCGAGGCCTGGATCTACCGCCGGTGGCCCCGGGCTACCTAGGGACGCTGTCGCATTAGGACCTAGGCCGCAGAGCGGTGGCCCCGGGCTACCTGGGGACGCTGTCGCATTAGGACCTAGGCCGCAGAGCAGCTGCCGACGGACCATCGGCGCGAATTCATCGGCCCAGGGGGCAGGATGTTGCTGGAAGGTCGGGTTATCTAGTACACTTGGTACGACAGTCTGCTGGGTCGCCTCCCGGAGGCTGATGATCCGCTGTCCCGACGCCACGGTCGCCTCCGGCTCTATATGGCCGTTAGCCGGGCACCCGTGGTGCCGGAGGAGCTGTTGCGCGATTCTACAGGCGAGTTGCTGGACCTGAGGTGATACTACTTGACCCTCTGTCGACTGTACCGTATAGGGCTGCTCGGGACCTGGCGCAGGGGTGTTCTCGGCCTGGGGGGGGATCAATTCCTCTGAAACCTCGTCGGTACCGACCATCCACTCGCCCGCTGTCGCGTCGAGATCGAAGTGGTTCCCGTCGCTTACTCCGAATCGCTCGTGGTCGATCTCGGCCCGAAGCGCGGTAAATGTATCCGGGACAGTCGAGGTAAGCGGCGTAGTCTCACTTGTATTCGCCTCTAACGGTAGGAGCGAGGTATGTTGGAAGTAGGTAATCTGCTGTAGCGGCTGCTGGAGCGGCTGCCTGGTAGCGTCATACGGGATTAGCTCCGCCTGGGAGATCGTATTCGCCTGCCGTCGCTGGGAATACCGCTGGCGCCGGGCCGCAAGCGCTGCAGCTCGATTCGGATACTTTCGTGGGCGGCCAACCATGATCGTGGTACGTGATCTTCTCAACCCTGTAGCCTAAGCGTTCAATTTGGAGGAAGCCGAGATGGTTAGAAATGGGTAGGATATATTGGCTAGAATAGGAGTAGATCAGATGGACATCTCGAAGATATAGAGATTGAGTATCCGTAAACCAACAATAGTCGAGCTATATCTAGTCAATTATATCTATATCTAGCGGGGAGGCCATCTAACCCTGAAAACGTGCGGCCCAAATCCCCGAAACCCCCGAAACCCCCTAAACCCCCTAAGCCCCCTGATTCTTACCTTCTTATGGCTCAGGATTCGATGTATCAGAAAGGTATAGCTATGAGCGAGATATTTACCGATTTCACCCGATTTACTAGGCTATATTCGAAACACGGGCGTAGAGGGTTGCGTTTCCCTTGGATCTATTATCCAACTCGAGTTTACCATAGACCGCTTTAAGTTAGAGTCGAATCCAATGTTTATTCGATAGTTATTTACTACTTCCCCTTAATCACTATCTCACTCTTAATCTAAATGGCTATTATTCTTCCACGGTCCCTTGCTAGCTCCGAGAGTCCCGAGTGGACTTCCCCAAGTACACAAGATAAAGGGAAGGGTCGTCTGAGGAGCCTCTCCAAGCCATCCACTCGTCGATCCAGCTCGAGTAGCCAGCGGCGAGCTAGTTCTATCAGCTCAAACCAGACCCGGCTCGACCAAATATGGAGCACCCAGCATCTAACTAAGCGTCCTCGGGATATACTACCTAGAGGTAGAGCCTCGGCATCTTGCAGAGATCCAACGCCAGTCGCATCTTCCAGAGTTCCGTCGTCTCCCAGAACTCCAGCACCGGTACCATGGTCTAGTGTTCCGTCATCCCCCAGAACCTTAGTACCGACCACACCGTCCAAAGTCCCGTCGTCTCCTAGCACTCCAGTACCGGTTGCACCCCCTCTTGTCACTTTATCGCCGTTCGTATCATCTACTAGGCCGTCTACTACCCACCAGGTAGAGCCATCCTCTCCTACCAGCATCCAATCGCCGCTTAGTCCATACCAACGTCCACAGAAGCGTCCGAGGACAGACCTATCCACAGCAGTCCAGCCTACAGACAAACGTACAAGGGTAGCACCGGCTACTCCACGACCAACTCATTGGTCACAGTCATCTCTACACCAGGCAGACCGTAGCCAGATACCCCTCTATGCCGTTGAGTTCCCCAATGCGGCACCGAGCGTTTACGGCAGTACTATCTCTAGTGCTCATACCGACACATATACTGACGCAGACTCTGAACATCGTCCGTCACGGTCCCGCTCACAGAGCAGCGCAGATCTAGATTATGCCGACCTCAGGGCCCGAATACACCAGGAGGAGCAAGCGGTTCAGGCTCTTATGGAACAGCCCGATCAGCGTCCAGCGCGGCGCGCTACAACGAACCCCCGATGGCCGAGGTTCCGGTGCACCGATTCGGGACCCCATCGCGCCACTGGCGTCCGGCCGAAGTGGCGAAGCTCGAGGAGCTCCTCGGGGAGTTCGGCACCGCGTGGCAGGCAATCTGGAACGACAACTATATCGGATGGACCAAGGGCCCCAAATCCGACTGGATCCACCCTGGCCGAGACGCCAAAAAGTACCGCTACAAAGCGAGGAATATGAAGATTCAGATCATGAGGTCCGTCCCTCCAAACGCTTCGATCCACATTCGTTCTACTAATCGCCCGTCTAGTGCTCAGGAGGACGTACCGATCTACCTTGCGGACGTAAATCTCTCCCGCGCCGAGCTAAACCGAGTCGCCCAGGGACGGATATCACACGCGAGCGCTCGGGGTCCCCAGTCACGGCGTCCGCTCCCACAGTCTACTCGGCGAACAGGACACTATACCCGAAAGTTTGAGCAGAGCCTTTTCAGGATCCCTCCTAGCTACTAGATCGGCTAGCAAATCAAACCTCTCGATATATAACCCTTTTTCTGACCACGGTCATAACGATAAGATATGAAATCGTATATATTATATAGATATTACGATATTGGGGTAGATTTCTGACCGCGGTCAGAAGTTGTAGGGTTGTATAGAGTATATACAGTACGATAGTATAGTCTATTTCTGACCGCGGTCAGAAATTACTAGGTTAGGTAGAATATAGGGGAGAATATAAGAGAAAGCTATAGGTACAAATACAAAGGAGGAGATAGTCTAAAATACAGAAGTTCGGTTTGGACCAAAATGCAGAAGTTTACATTGGTCCAAAATACAGAAGTTCAGATTGGACCAAAATGCAGACGTTTGCATTGGTCCAAAATGCAGAAGTTTACATTGGTCTAAAATATAAAATCATTAGAATCTATAAATATATATATAGGGCTTAGTATAAGGATCCCCCTTTTAATAATATATACAATTTTAGTTTATATAATTAAAAACCGTATATTTCTCCCTAATTACTATGTGAATAATCTATATATTAATTACCGTATTTTGTTAACTATATCCCTACTTAGTTTTACTACTACTAATTCCCTATCTTTATTTATATCCCTATTCCGGGGTTTATCCTATACTATATACCGGACTATAGCACTTCCTATAATGATATATCCTAATAAATATAGCTATCTTATATTAGTAGATTAAAAGAAGACTCGGTATTAGACTGCGACATCGCCCGTCCATGGGCACCTAGGAGGTGCCCAAGGCCCGTCCACGGTGGGCCTTGGGCTATTTGGATTTTCGAGTGCCCGTCCATAACGCCCAAGGCCCACGGGCATGCCCACGGCGGGCATGCCCACGATGCCCACCATTGCATAAAGTCACCCAAAATGGACGTATAACTCGCTGACTTTGCATAATAAATAACTGTTATTTACACCTGTTTTGCCAACTCCATGTAAAATGGCAGTTTTAATCTACAACATCTATAAATTTTACTGAAATATCTATGTATATGAGAAACTAGTATATATATGATACGAATTGGAATAAAATTTTAATCGAAATACATCATATTGTGTGGTATTTTTATTAACTTATCAAATCATACTGTAACAGCTTGAAGATATATATTTAAGTCAGTGGTACATGCCTGGCATTTTCTATAAGTAAAATACTACTTATGGATTCTACTTTATCTCTCACTCTAGTATATTTCTCATAGGTAGATCGAAAGATAATTAGTATAATTCTTATTTTATAAGCTTATATCACTAAATTCTGTCAATTATATCACTCAAAGACTTGTGTTATTATTCTGGGAGTTTTAAATCCTTCGATTGTAACTCAAGATGGGCGTTTAGGTATGTTCCCATGGGCGTGCCCACGGGCGTGCCCACGGGCATGCCCATGGACAAAGACACTTATAGCCAATCAGCTTATAATATATAGTGGGTCTACACTCAATTTACGATCTATCAGATCTATACAAAGCACCCCTTTTACTAGTAATCCTCGTTTCACACGGTCGCAAGTTACCTATTGTAAGTTCAGATCACTCACTCTCCTATAGTCGTTATATTATCCCTTACATCACATTAACCATGTCCCAACCTAGTGCCTATACCGCAGGGCCTTCTTCACTTCCTCCGAGCTCCCAACCAGACCTCTCCTACGTCGCCGATATATTTGATCCTAACCTTAATCCAAATATTGATCCCAGTCTCTTCAACAGCCAACAGACTTCTATCTCACTGATAGAGTCCGAGTTCACTCAACCGGCTATTCTTGATTGCTCTCTCAAACGCGTCGGCCCCGATCGGAGAAAGCAGTTTATCCTCTACGACGCGATGAACAACGCGTCCAAAGTAAAGTTTATCGAGTGGTGGCGTACCACAGTACGCGGCAGCAGTACTGAGACACAACAAAGGCTACGATAGGATGCAAAACACATATTAGATGTCTGGGAGAACTTCGACCAGGTAATGAATTCCCAATTCTTTCCAGTGTTGCTCGCGACATTCTCTCTATTCCTGCAACAGGCGCTAGAGTTGAACGTCTTTTCAATTTAGCACGGGATGTCTGCCACTACCGACGTGGGCGGCTGAGTACGAAGACAGTCCAGGATATCATAATGTTCCGGTATAAAACCCAGTTCGACATTGAAATAGAAGAACTACCCGATGAGGATACGTCCTTGGATTCAATGCAAGAAGCAGACGAACAGAGAGAGGCTAAGCTTACCACTGACATGCCTGAACCAATCAGCGATAGTGAGGATTCCGAGGATAATGATCCTGTTGGACTGATCGAGTATGAGTTTATGATGGAGAGTCAGCTTCCTCGTCCTTCTATAGTGCTAAGTACGCGGAAGCGACAGAGAAGTGAGCTAGTCGACAGCGAAGATAAGAGCAGTCCTCATCTCCCTCATTATGGAGATAAGGGTAGCACTCAAAAGCGCCCTGGTTTAAGAGAAGCAAGGAAGCGTGGCAAACCTAATAATGATCAATTTGTATCGTATTAGTGTAAATATATGAATATAATGAATGCCTAAGTCATTATGCAAAGGCTTCCAAGGCTTATTTCTGACCCCGGTCAAAAAAGTGACAATGTGTCAAGTTGTTGTATAAAGGCTTCTAAAGCTCATTTCTGACCTCGGTCAGAAAATTGACAGTAGTATCAAGTCATTGTACATGTAATCGAATTACTCAAAAATACAGAGAAAAAAATGCACAAATAATGCAGGTCACGAGGTCAAGAAATTCTGCTTACTAAAAAGGCCCATGGGCGCCCACGGTGTCCATGGACAATGGGCCCTAAGGGTAGGGCCCGTCCATGGGCGTATGGATAGTGCCCATCGCCCGCTTACATAAGGCCCGTGGGCACTGCCCACCCGCCCGTCCATGGGCGATGTCGCAGTCTACTCGGTATTCTAGATATTCTAGATATCTTAGATAATTATAACCTATTTCGGATTAGTTTTATATAACTTAATCAAATATATTCTTTATATTATTGTTCTTATAGATAAGGTTAAGAATATATTAAATAGTATAAGTTAATACTAATAATAGCTAAGAATAATATAAAAGGATCTTCATTATAAGATAGTAAAGATAAGTTTTAAGATATATATAAAGAGCTATAAAAAAGGGATTTTATAAACGATTAATATAATATTCTATTACTTTTATACTATAGACTAGGGCTTAATAAGTCGTATAGTACTAGGTAATTTTTAGTTCCGGTATTCTAGGACTAAATAGAATTCTAGTACTATAGTGGTGCGAGTATACCTATTTAGGCTAGAAAATTACGTAGATAGGAAAGTAGTCGGTATAATAATATTAAGGTAGTACTAAAACTAGGGCTTTAGCTCCTACTTAGCGCTAAGGCGGGACTTAATCGGCGGGAGTTATTAAGGCTTACTATAGACGAATGTTAATAAAGATTTAGGTTAATAGGTAATATAATTAAGAATATAATATTAAATCTAATAAGTAGAGATTTAGATATATGATAAGTTTAAAGGATATATATAGATATAAAATATAGATATAAAATAGTATAATAGATAAAGTATTATATTAATTTTATATAATCGTAGGGTTTATAGTTAAGTTTAAAAAGGGGTATAGACTCCGAATACTTCCTAAGCGGTATAGATTAGCGATAGTATTATATAATAAAGACTACGGATTTAACTTAGTAGATTAATATTTGTTAATTTAAAAGATATAGATTTATAGTATACTACTATAGTCGAGATAAAGATAATCTATCTATCTATCTATCTATATAAACCGGATATCTATTATAAGATAGGTAATAGAGTATCGGAGAGAGTATAAGTAATTCAGGGTGTGATAGGGGATTGAGAAGAGGACGACCTATCCCATGGGGGGTGGACGACCGAGCCTGAGTGCGGGTTTCAATACATTACTTACCGGTTTTAATTAGATCTGGTTGGTTCCCGCAAATGTGGATACCCTCCCATTCATGCAAAATGACAAGGCTGGGTTCACTCCGCAGCTTAGCCTCGATGTTCATGAAACTTGGCCAGACGATATTTAACCCTGCTCTCTAGGTGTCCTCCAAATTTCAAGATCGGAACCCAGGTAGGACGGTGAGCAATCTATAGCTGAAGTTATTATCCAGAACGGTGCTAGCGTATGTGGGGCGAAAAGCAAATGGTTGGACCAGAGCGTTCTACCCTGGGTTACGACCTATTATGAGGTCTAACAACTTTCAAATTTTTACAGATTATAGAGAGTATAGTTATATATCTGGTATCGAGGTAGCAACACTTTAACCCAGGTAGGTATTATATAGTATACTATTAAATATGGAGATAGTTTTGATGTAGTTGCGATGGTGGAGACTACCCGACCGACAGAGAGCGGCCGACCAACCACAGCACTTTAATGCAAAACCTGAATAGTTACCACAAACTTGATCAAATTCCTCTGTAACTTTGCTAGCACCTTTATAGTAAGAATTAGGATATACTGTAGAAATTATAGAGATAGAACCCAGGTAGAAAGTGTAGAATACAGCGTATGCCTTATAGGTCACCTTTACTATGGGAAACTTTAGGGAGTTAATACAAACTAAGACAGCCAAGTGGCTATTTTCCTACCCTGGGTCCTACCTGTAAACCGCGTCGGATCGATATAAAAATTTCAGAAGTTCTAAACGTGTATATAAACTGTCCACTGTGAGCTTCATTAATACTGAACCCAGGTAGAAAGGCTTTGAATCATAAATGAAAATCTAGACGTTTTTTGCTGGGGTGGTGGAGTTGCGACTATGGCAGCCGGATAGATAAGACCTTATCGTCACGGTGGATAATACCCGCCGCAGCACGCATGTTGACCTTCGTATTCCTTAATGCATACAACTAATAGATATAGAATTTTTTGTACTCAGTATTATATGAACACCACAGTCAAGTGAGGCCGAAGTGAATTGCTAGCGATTACAAAAGTCAGAGATTCCTGATTCTATTACAAAGTGCCGGTATATCAAGTACAACCACATTGGTATATGCATTATATATCTTGCTGTATCATACATCCAAACAGACTTTTAATTAAATTGATAAATACCGATCACAAACCAACCTTTCTTCTTCTATCATACCTCCGCTTCTGCGGCCCCTTCCCGGCCAGAGGGCTAGAGAGGGGGTATGAACCAACCATGACCTTCGACTGGAAGGATCAAGGAATATCGACACCGAACGAACAGGAAGCAATCCGGCTGCTCTCAAATCTACACCATGCAGAGCAGGGAGCGTTAAGACAACTATCCCAGTTCGAAAGCTACTATAGTACAACATATAATCTACTAGTCCACAAATGCAGTCACCTACTCGCTCGAGACCCATCCAAAATTGATCTACTTCCACACAAAACCGACACCCAAACATTTCGGCAAATAAGACACCGTACCGAAACTTAGAAGCACCGAATGTAGCAAGAGCCAACTACACAGCCCAAACAAAGAAAATATGATAGCCAGTACGCCACCAAAAGTTCAGCTGGACCAGCACAATTAATCTACTAATACAGTTCATTCCTAACAGTAAACTGAATCCCCTACACACACCACTTACAATTTGTTCAATTCCTCCCAACTCAAATCCCTCAGCATCCGCACTATGCAACTAGCTACAGTATACCCTCCATACACCCGTTCCGCCATAGCCAGTGTCATTCGAGCCAGAACCCTTTCACAGGCATCTGGAATCGTTATTATCGACGAATATGATCGCAAACCCCTTCTTGACGCACTCGAGGATGCGGACCTCATCATCATAGACCCCGAGTCCCACCCCTACGTTACCGACGATGTCATACACAGATACATCAATGAATTCACATTCCTTTTCGACCTTATGACCCACTCGAACCTTCGCCTAGTCACAATGGATGTTCTCGATGCACTAGATGACATTGCATCTCTCCATGCTTCCTTGGATTTCGCCAATCTCCGCGAGGATGCTGGCCGACTCATCCACGGTTGGACGTGCCTTCTCATCAGTCCCGACTTTGGGGCCGTTCCTCCCATCATCCACACCATGAAACTCTGTCTCCTCCCACCGCTGTACGTCTTAAGGCAAGGCCGCAAGGCGAAGTTCACAGTGGTAACCCCTTTCCACAAACAGTGATATACGCCCGGTCGCATAGTATAGGAGTCTTTTTTTTTTTTGATATCTTCAAGGACATGTTAGAGTTGTGGGTTAGCAGGTTGACAATCAGCATATTTGACAGGCCTTGTAATATAATACTAGTATTCTCCGAACAAAATAATTGCAGCACCTTGGTAATACATAACCATAAGCCAAAGTCGGGTGATAATCATTCCAGGTAGTTAATTAGCCTTAAAGCCTAATACCAACATCTCCATATAAGCAAACAAGGTTTAAGACAGGTACTGTTAAGCATAAAACTCTAGATCTTTTTATCGGGGCTACCGTTACGACCGGGACCGCACGTGGACCGGGTAATAACTCTAGGCTACCTAATTGGACGAACAGTTCTTAGGCTTGGCGAGTAGAACCCCAGAACATAATGGATCGGGCAGCGGCATATACTGCAGCAGCTCCACCCATAAGGTTGATTTTTAGGCCGGATTTTAAAATCGTTTGCTAAATGTCAATTTTTTCATTCTCTCTCCAACTTAAGTCTGTAAGTTTATCAACTTCTATATATTAAGCACTAGCAGTAAGACCACTTGCTTCGGCACCTATATAGAAGCACTAAGCGCCTCCAGTTCAGGGCTTGGTTTCGTGTTCTTGCTTCGGTTAGAAGAAGCGTATGCATAGTCATACGTAACTGGCTAGACTGTAACAGGTTAATTGCACTTTGATTGATTGATCGCTATTGAGCGCTACTATACTACAGTCGAGATTTCTTTCGTGCAAAACTAAAAAAAGCTGGAATGCGAGTTTCTTTGGACGTAAAGCCACCAAGCCATGCCATGTTGCAGCCAGGTTTATTTTCGCGAGAAAGCCAAACAAAGACAACACTCCGAGTTTCTTTGGGTGTATAGCCATCGGGCCATACCTAAGCCTAGCCAGGTTATTTTCGTGAAAAGACTAAAAAAAGATAAAACCGCAAGTTTCTTTGGACGTAAGCCCCTAAGCAGAGTAATCCTTCATACACATAGTTTATCATCTATACCATATAACAAACAATCATACCTCAACCAATCATAAAGATCGTATTGAGTATCAGGATATAGTTACAACCCAATAAGTAATCGAAAGCTGGCCAGGGATTTAGACCAAGACGATGCAATATCAAAGAAGTAAAGTCTTCCCCGTTGCAACCATGAACAGTAACAATGAAACTCGTGGTGCAAACCATATCTATCCTTAAACCCAAAGCCAATTGGCACCTTTACACCATTCCTAGCCCGGGTCTTTGTCCACCATGTTATTTCAAGGATTGAACTTCTAAGAGTAGACCAAAATAGAAGCCTCCTAGTCTTAAGGACCTTAGAACCATTTGCTATTTATTTCGTCCTTTAAAGAAAATGAAACATACCAATGTACAAGTTAAATTAGAAACTAGTCTAGTATCCTAAGAATACTACTCGCGGTATTCTACACTTACAGAAACTCTACCCAGTACTTCAATAAAGCATAGAATAGTATACAAAGCAATATAGCGCCAGCTTGTAAACCTAAGTTCGAGTGCAAATTGGTTTCGACCTCCTATATATTATAGGAGTATCTAAGCCAAATCTTCCTAACTCTACATTTTCTTAACTACCTGCTTTCAAGACTCCAATCATGCCTCCCAAACGCGCTTTAAGTCAACCACCAGTACTTCCCCGCCTCACTCGAGCGACAGCCTGGAGGGACGAATACCATCGGATCACTACACGGTATCTAGGGTTTATTAACGGCTTCCCATCCATACCCGAAGAGCCCAATCTTATAGGGCCTCCGCAGGATTGGAATGCTGGGTATCGTCGAGGACTCTTAGCCACCCGCGCTTTCGTCCTAAATACCAATACCCCGCTTTCCGAGGTTAGCAACCTTATCGCCCAACTTTGGGACCTTTTTGAGACAATAATCAGGGCTCGCAACCGCATTGTGGGTGCAGAGACGGTAGCGGATATACGGCGTATCCATGCAGTACGCGACTCCTATGACCCAGCCAATCTACGGGAGCACGCTCTAAGTCTCATTAGCGCATGGGCTGCTCTTGCCCTAAACCCACACCTTAGGACTACCTCACTGGTACTCTACCGACTGGGTGTTACCCTTCGTTGGGAGTTATCTGAACGAATCGAACATTATTGGAATGAGCACAACTATCCCACGATCCTCGACGAAAATGACCATAGCCAGGTGGTCGGAAGCTTTCGGGCACAGCTGTCTTCTATCGCGGCCGATTGTCAACGTGCCGCCCCTAATATCCGGCCTGTGACCCCGGAAGTCCGCAACGCTCTCCTCGCAGGGCTCCGAGAATCATTAGAGTTCTACCGCGACTCACAAAACCCATTTCTAGACAGAGCGGCCCGAGCCCGCGCAGCTGGAGCGGTTAGCAACGCGACGCGGGATCTCTGGATGCTCCTGAATACCTTCTTCCAAAGCGGCGGTCCGAACAACACTGGCTTCCATCACGACGTAGTCACCTTCCTTAGGAGGCTCGTCGAGATCTATGAGACAACCCTTTCGTTTATGGATATAAACGAGACCTTCCGTGAGGTCTATCCCCTCTGGCTTCAGATACTCGGACTTCCTACTCTTGCGGTAGACGCCCAATTGGAATATAGTATGGGCGTGCTTCTGCACTGGCCTACAGTTCCACAAGGTGTCACACAGCCCCCCTAACTGGCAGGGCCCTTATTCAGTTGTCACACCTTATGTAGCAATCTCGTCATCTGAGTCTGGCCAGGGCTCGGATATAAACCCCGGACTTGACGGTGCTGGTGATCAATTGACCGGGTGGAGTCTTATCCGGTCCGGCCTACACCAGCAGCCACTTACTACGGATATGGAAGGCGTTGTCGCTGCTACCAATGCTGGAAAGCTCAAGTGTATTATTTGTGCTAAGGCCGTCCAGCTAGGAGATCAGGTTGTCTCCCTCCGTCCGCACTGCCGCCACTGGTTCCACCCCCGTTGCCTTGATAGTCTAATGCCACAGTTTACCGAGCACTGCCCGGTATGCGGTATACATGTCAAGCCGGGTGGTAACTGATAAGAGGGGGTATAAGTGATAGGTATATGTTGCGTTTTTCTGGTTATTTTCTTTTTCTTTTTCAACTTGATAGATAGTATATGTCTCTCTTTTAGTTATACTCAGGTTGTACGATCCAGGCTGTCCTTTGTCCAGCCACTGTTATCTGATTACGTTGACTCTTATACGTGTGCTTCTGACTTTATATAAATTATTTGATCTGTTTTTATTATCGTCGCCTTTTGTACCATTATTATAAATCTCATATTGTCCATACCTAGCACGATCCGTTTTTAACCGCGGTCAGAAAGTAGGGCGGATATAAAAGTGTAGGTATCGATCAACATGTAAGAGGTCGATAAAGTCTAAAATATATTTTTGTCAACAATTTATGAAGTTTATCGAAACTCCGACAATTGGTTAGATTCCATCCAGTTTCACTATATAGAGTGTTTTACCTGGAACAAATCGATGAATTCCACGTCTTCTCAGATTGTCGCGGAACATCGAGAAGTTCCCTTTCTATTTCTTGTTGCATCAGAAAACCCGGTATAGAGCTTGGCGCATTGGAACGTCCTACCTTAGCTTCAGTTTTTTGCTCTCCATTTTAAATGGAAGATAAAGGTAGGTATAATATCGCAGAGGAGTCTGAAAACTGTAACAGGTCACGTATGTGAAGTTCGGACATTCAGAAAAAAGTCTATACCCAAGGGACCATTTCGGACAAGATTGTTGGGGGTACTTTGTCTTGATTGTTGATACCCGTCTGTCCCGATATCCCGATTTCAATAGGATTCCTATGGCGATTGTAATGGGATTTTGACCCTTTCCAGCTTAGCCTTTGACGAAAAAAGACCATATGCGCATGACCATTTCGGACGTGATTGTTGGTGGTCCTTTGTCCTGATTGTTAGTAGAGATCTTAGATAGGGAAGAGAGAGAGAGAGGAGAGAGAGAGAGAAGTAAGATCCCAGGGATTCTTATAGTAAGAGAGAGAGAGCCCTTGGACCATTTCGGACAAGATCGTTAGTAGTCCTTTGTCCTGATTGCAATGGGATCTGGACTGTTTTTGTGATATGTTTAAGTTCGCAATATCACCTCACGCTAACAAAACACATAGAGATCGGCTATTACTGACGACGAAGCATAGCGTCGTGATCCGAACCTATTTGTATACGACTTGCGGGTATGATGTATGATGCAGGATGCATAACTGGCGGTCCTGGTGATACAGGGACTCGGCGAATCGGGGAGCCAGGGGAAGCGAAGTGAGAGAAGTGACCGAAGTGAGAGCTGTATTGCAGAGAGAGGGGGGCACTCTGCGATGAATTGACTTTCTTTACAATTTCTTTTGTATTGTTTGCACTAGTTAACTATGCCGGCCGGTTTGTCGCCTTACAATTCAGGTTGCAGCACCTCGGGAAAACTGAGTCTTGCATACAGGGTGGTTGGATACTGGGGATGCACTATCATTTGTCGTCGAAGAGGAGGCTCTAGGGACGCTACTTCCGCATAGCAGCATGTATGTAATAGCGAGTTAAATCGGGTTAGTGAATTAATCATCATCATCATCATCATCATCATTATGAAGTATAGCGTCGCGAGCCGAACCTGTTCGTATACGACCTGCCGATATGATATATGTTGTATGAAGCAAGAAGCAATATTAGAAAATATCAATTTAGGAAATTTTTAAAAATACAGGCAGAGTTATCGATTTAATTATAGGCCTCTCTACAATATTAAACATCTTATACTATAGTATCCAAGCTAAGCAATTTTCTCTTAGAGATTATGAGGTTCTACTAGGAACACATAAGCAGTAAGAACAGATTCTGTAGCATTGGATTGGAGCATAGCCGGATCCCCTATTAGAGGACCCGTATAAGCCTCTTATATCAGTATACCGACATTCTTAGCCACCATCAGAGCCTGCTCTACCTTTGATAATGAGTTCGATATGCAGCTCACAAAAACAACAACACCGGTCGCAAAACCGGAAGTCCGACATATATTGTATATACTTAGTCCATAGAAGCAGTTATATAGTTAAAGTTCGAGATAATCTCAAAATCACTCCGACAGTGACCTTCCGGCGAACACTCACGTCCAATAATTTGGGTAAATAGGGGTTGGTATTGAAGCACCCAGCATAGTATGTTCCAAACAAAAAAACCACGATAGATAGAGCGCCACTAAAAATTCACCCCTGCTAGTACAATTAATCTCCCAGCATAGTTCATCCCCAATAGAAAGACCAACCCCCCATAATTTGCGCTTTTATTCAATAAAATTCCTCCCAATTCAAATCCCATCGCATCGCACTATACTACCACCTACACCATACCCCCCATCCGACAATGTCTACATGTACAATGTATCTCGGACTCGGACTCTTCCGCCGGTACCTGATATCGTTATCTTCGAAGAACAGGATCGCCTGCGCTTCCTCGACGCACTCCAGACTGCACGTCTCTCCATCGTCGACCCACTGTCCTACCCGAACGTAACCGATCTGGCTGTATGTCTGTTCGCACGCGAACTGATATTCCTCTTCAACGTTATGACCATAACAGACCGTCGGGTGGTAACAGTCGATACATGTGACGCCCTAGACAACATTGTATCTGTCTAGGCCTTACTCGATATGGACTATCTTACATCACTCAATGTCGCATACAGCAACACCGATCTCTGCAACTATATCCTGCGACTCATCAACGGTTGGGATATACTTTTACGAAGTCACGGCACTGGGGCTAGTCCCATCATCATCGACTATATGAAAACCTGTCTCCTCCCAGAGTTATAAGTCGCGACACCACGAGCCAATGTGACTCCGACCGAGCCATCCTTATTGTACAAACAGTGTTATATACCGGCTGGCAGAAGATAGAGTTATTTTTGCTAAGATATTATAAGATTTCCTTTGTCGGTACATGTTGGTTGGTCGATAGATAGGTGACAACGGGTCTATACTTGAGGGGCAATATTCTAGAGTGGTAGCATACCCTCCAAATAGAAGAATTTCTAGTTAATCGGGTTTAGGGCTTTAAGTCGAAGTCAGGTAGATGTCAATTCGGATAGTAATTGGTATAAATATTAAAAGCCCAATGGTAATATATACAAATTCTACATTATCTATAATAACTAGAATACGATATACAACTACCCAATATAGAATATCAAACCACCGGTAATATGCATTTTGATAAAGCAGAGACAATCAGAAACCACCGAGTAAAAGTACGTCGAGGTAGCCAAACCGGGATTAAAGAAAAAATAAAAACTCAAAGATCAGGACCACAGCATATACCAGCATAGGGTATAACACATCAGGGTCCAGATACATTCCCCATAGTTGAAGAGGTTAAAGCAGAACGAATCATAGAACAGAACGAGGAACCACACTTTGTCTCCATATTCCAGGATACTAGTCTAGTTGAATGGCCGCACCTCTCTCCCGTGGCCGGAAGACTCGATTGTCCCAGTCCATCTGACGGCGAAGGGCGACTTCCTCCACACCAGCATTCTGCGCAATCAAACAGCAGGCTTCCTGCCATGCGTCGTATGAGATAGTAGGCCGACGCTTCAGTCCGTCCCTTAGGAGGGCCGAAGATGAACGCCGAGCGGTCTCCTGTGGTGCACGGAAGCAGGCCAAGTTACCCGCCACACAACGCTGGCAGGTCGTTCCAGGACCAGGCTTGCAGAAAGGCCGCTCAAACACCAGGGATCTCTTGTCATCAAAGGCGACACACAGAATACAATGTAGACACATCTCCTCTGTACCGAACATTGTCGATCGTAGCGCCGGGTTGATCAACGCGAGTGAGAACCCAGTCCTCAGGCAGTCCAGGAGGGGAATTTCGGCAGCCTCCTGATATCTCGCAACCCATGAGATATCGCCTACAGCTGGCTGTGAGGCTGGGAGTTCCTCAATGTCTGAGCTGCGTGTGGATGAGACCGAGATAATGGATGTGCGGCTATTGGTCTGCCGGTGGTGGCTCCGAGCCGAGGACGGGACACCACTGGGGTGAGTGGTAGCGGGGGGAGGGAGCTCGGGAAGATACAGGGGTTGAAACGGGCTTATCCAACCTCTCTAGCGATTGGCCGAATCGTGGAGACGCCATTGTGATGCGATGCGAGTTGGTGATTCGATGGTCGACTGAGTGAGTCGGCTTTGAGCTTGGCTGTGAGGATTCGATGGTCGACTGAGTGAGTCGGCTTTGAGCTTGGATGTAAGGATTCGGGATGTAGATCCGTAGTGCCAATGTCGGTGTAGCGTATGGTGGAATGTAGACTTCGCCGTATGAGCTTACAGTCTGTGCGAGGTGACTGGTCGAAGAGAGTTGGGTTTAAGCGGAGTGTGAGATGGAGCTTTGAACTGGAGGTGTTGAGATATATATTAGTATGTGACACACTGAAGGACTTAGACGGTAGAGGAATGGTCACCTGGATGTACGATGAAGTTCAGATATTCACGTATCAATCACGTCGGCCCTCTTACTATACATGATGTAACAGAGGGGCCACACCAGGGCGAGTTAGATAGGTGAGGTGGACAGGTAGCGAGAGAGTACTGCGTCTGCTTATGAACAGGGGTAAAGGAAGTTTATAAAGTGGAAGCAGAGGAGGTCAGGCAGTCAATGTAGGAGCGATCATATCCTGCACACTCCATAGATGTCGCACCTATCCCAACATCGACAAGAACCCACAACCTATGCACTGTGCCAGTAAGTGAAGGTTAATCTCGACGAGGATCCACTTCCTACACTGTGCATCAGTACGATAAGGTCAGTTTCAACGAGCATTCATATCCTATATGCTAACCCAGTGTCTGCAGGCCAGCATCGACCAGCTTCCACGTCGAGACACTTTCCTCGTACCACAAATCCCTCACTCTCCCACCTCACTATGGCTTCAACAAGCACCAGTCCACAAGATGAGCGCCCAACAGCCGTCCTCGAATTTCCTACTCCTGACACCACTACAATGCCAAGTCTCCCATGTATCCCCTACCTCAACCAGCAGCTCGACTCGTGGAATATGGATACTGCGTTCTGTCCCGTGAGATATCGCTATTACGAGGCCAACGAGCGGGAATACCTCGCTATCCACGCAGTATATATTGACCAGATCACATCCCCGTCACGTCACGCTAACATCTTCATCTCCTAGGTCCCTCCTGGCTGCGCCTATATGTTGTGTGAGCTCCTGGGTCTAGTCCAGTACACAAACATGCTCTGGCAGAATACCGGACCCCCTACGAACCCGAACTCCTTCGCGCGGTCGCCCTCAGGATCCGGTCCCTCGTCCAAGACTTTGTCCACGTGGTCACCGCACACCGGCGTATATGGCGTGTGTCTCCCACCGATATCACACCTATGAGTAGAATACATCCACCCGTCAAATATCAACATACTAACCAAGCCGCTCGAGAATACTATGCGCCAGTACCGCACCCGCTTCTTCGAGGCCCGAGGTCGGATACCAGATGAGTACAGCCAGATCAGTGCGAGACCCCACACCGGATACCCCGGCATTCTTTACGCCCGCTCATTCGCCCACCCCGGGGTGCGACGGTCATTGAACATTGCACGATCCTTCCAGCGTAACCAGCTTGCCTTTATGAATCGCATATGCGATCTGATCGACGAATTTGACGAGAACTTTGGGGATGGGTCGGAAGATAAGGACGAGGACGAGCGTTCCAGCAGCCAGTGGAGGCGCCTAGCCCCGTTCCTGGAACGTGATCTTCGCCGAGGATAGACAGACCACCGGTAGACGGTCATGACAAGTGGATTGATCGATAGTGAAGATGCCGAATGCAATGACAGTTTTCATCACACAATGAAAAAGCCTTAGATAAACTGCAAGCTTGCAGCCGAGTGTGTATACAGCCCAGTATACCGTCATAGGTTGACGCAGGGTTCGAATACGACGGCAAGCGGTACGGGCCGACCCGTCAATACCACGTGGGCCATACTCTATGTGATAAACCCGAGTCAACATTATATATTATCATTGACAGTGCGCGCGTTCATTATTGACAGTTTTCTACTGCGCGCGATCCCCTATTGATGGCATACACGCTTATTATTGTCAATTTTGCACTGCGTGCGTATCCTCCATTGATAGCACGCGCGCTCATTATTGACAGAGTTTTCTATTGCGCGATCCCCGACTGATGGTACGCGCGCTCGCTCATTATTGACAGAGTTTTCCATTGCGCGCGCGGAATCCCTCACCTACATATTCTACTCCAATTCCCTCCTCTTACTTACCACCTGCCACACTCCTACCCACGTTCGAAAGCTCCACTCAAGGTAAGCCCCACCACTCCGATTGCTGTTGCAGATACTGATCCCGTTGCTACCAGAGTCTCACCTGCTCAAACCTTACTCCACCCGATCTACTCTCGTCTGGGCCCACCATCGTGTTTGCGATGGTGAGTGGCCCACCCTATCCTCGACGTTGCTAGACTGACTGTCTTCTAAGCCTCTCCCGGAGATGTCCGACTCCATGGCTGAAGCCGTCGCACTCCTCGCCGCCACCAAGGACGTCCTGCTGGGAGTCTTGGGCGTTGTCGTCGTCGCCAAGGACTTCCTCGACAAGGTGAAGGAGATTGTTACGGCCGCCAAGGAAGTGGTCACCGCCATCGGAGAGCTGGTTGTCGCCGTTCGAGACCTTTTCCAGGACGTTCAATGGGCGCAATGGAACGAGAACCTTCGATGCGATCTCCAATGCGTTGAACAATCAATTCCCTTTGATATTGTTGATTTCTACTGGAGATTAGGAACAGCAAGACAGATTCAATCGATACGAAATATACTCGAATCTATAATGGTCTCCCTCCATGAGATAAAAAGATAGTATTCTTCCCCGTAACTCCGCAGTAGATACCGCCCGGCAGAGTCTATGCACCAATGCCGTAAACAAAGAGGCAGATTATCGTATCCCACCAACATCCATGTCCCCTCCCATCCTACCTAGAGTCTAGAACCGACTCAACATCATCAAGGCAGTTGCGTAAGATAGACATCTGGTCGATCGTCACTGAAAGGATGACCGTGAGTATTGACAAATATATCCTCCATCCAACCTGCAGTATCATCATAAAACAATTCACTCGAAGCCACAGACTGCCTCCTCCGAACTCCGTCGTCAACCCATCCGCCAATACAAGTACTATCCGGTCGGATCGCTGGTTGAACAGGTACGGTTGCCTCAGCCAAGAGGAAATCGGTCGGGTCGAACTGGGAGGAAGCAAAATGCGAGCTTCCATACTGGCAGGAAGCGACCGGCGACTGGCTATCCGGAGATATACGCTGGGCCGACACGACAGGCGATGATGGTGGGATACAGTGCAGAGTCCTAGGCGATTGTCGACTGCAGGACAATTGACTAGGACTCTGTACTGCTATCGTGATCTCGCCTTCTTCGGTAGAAGCAGAAATACCCAACCCTGCAGAAGGCGCCATATGAGACGCGAGCACATCCAAGTCCCACACCGGCGGACTTGAACGCCAGCATGATTCACCGGCCTCTTCCATATCCCCTATAGTAACATCTCGGTATGTCTCATACCCAGTCTCACACGCAGTCTCCACATCGGTACCATCACATCCAGGTAATGTTTTTCCTGCGCCACAGCCCGGATCGTTGCCTCGCGCTGGATTGGGATCCGATGAAGATCCAATCACAATTAAATTGTTACCAAGATCCCTCTGCGGTTTTAGATCGGGGCCGCCACCGTCGATTCTATCGGTCCACAAATCAAAACAATCCCAGTCAGCGGCCCCGCCAAGTACCACCCGATCGGTACTGAGAATCGCTCCGTCTGGCAGGTCTATATCAGCCACGAATCTGCTCGATTCAACCGGCTCCGGCGACCGATCACGTCTGGCGCTAGCGTTGAAGAACTTTAGGAGTAGTGGCTGACTGGACGGCACACGGGTATTCGGGTCTGGGATCCCCCGCGCCCTCCGCTCTGTACGCGCCTTGGCTTCTGCGTCGGCTTTTTTCTTTTTATTCGCGATTCGTCTCGCGTCTTTCTCCCGAATCTGCTTCGCCCGAGCCTCGCGCTGATCCTCGCGGTCCATCCGGGCGATCTGCGCGGGTGTAAACCGGAACGGTTTGCTTCTCTGGTGTCGTCGCTTTATATCTTTGGACTTTTCCATGACAATCCGCCGCTCGGGAGGCATCCTGACATGGGTGAGCCGTACAGCGGCAGGGGGATTCGATTTACGGCCAACGGAGGTGGGTGTTGCCGCTATATTATACCCCGTTTCAGCCGGTAGCTTGACAGGTCCAAGATGATTTCCACAGACTGCTGGCGATCGCATTTCATTTTATGCCGCTCGATACGTCCCAAAACCAATTCTATCTGTATGAGACGTGTCTAGACTTTTTCTTTTGAGAACGGGGTGACAGATAGTATATAGGTGATAGGTCATCTTCACAGCCCTATCTGGTATGCTCCTACCATGAATCCAAAAAAGCAACTGGATATGCAGCCGATATGGTGGAGGAAATTAATATATATATCCCCATGCATCCCTATTCACCGACATATCTTCGCTCACCCTCAAATCCCCGACTATGGCCGAGAATCCATTTATACCACCTCAACACCACCCGGTGGTCGTCTGTTCGCAATGTAAAATCGGAGTTCGGCCCAAAGAGACCAATGGTCACCTCAACCACCAGCATAAGAAGCTCAGCCCTGCCGTCCGCCAGCAGATCGCCAGTCGGGTCCAACAGTGGGACCGAGCGGCCGAGTGCGACTCCTATATCCCGCCAGCCAGTCTCCCTATGCCCATTGCCGGGATCGCCGAGTACCCAGACGCTCTGATGTGCACCATCCAGGATATCGACTACCAGGCAGCCCAGAACGCCGGCTCGGTCGATATGTGCCGGTATATCGCACGAACTCCGCAGACAATGAGGAAGCACTGGCGCCTCCACCATCCGGCGCTCCTTGAGAACGGCGTCCCTAGCACCGCACAGCCCACCACGCAGGTGGTATGCCAGAAGGTATTCACCTCGGGAACTGGATCGCATTATGTGATGATCGAGGCCCAGCCAGCCAAGCGCAGCGTCCAAGACACCCACCCGACGACACTGGATCCGCTCTATACGCAGTTCGACCGCCTGGCCGCACTTGGCGATCCGGCCACCGATAACCGCGATATCGATCCCGCCCAGGCTGACGAGGCCAACCCATGGCTCCGCCGTACCCAGTGGGCGGAGTATCTCCAGGGATCGGACCCAGACGACCTGATCCAGTGCGTACGACGACCGGAGCGTGGGGACCAGCTCGAGGCGGAGCGGACGGCTGCGGCCATCTGGGATGCGATGGAAGCGGTCACCCACCGTAGCCAGAGAGTCACCGCACTCACTGGCCACACCATCCGCATCGCCGCCATCCGCGTGCAGCGGGATCAACTCCCCCACAAACCACTGCAGGCGTATATGGACGGGGCTAACATCCAACGCCACTGTCTCCCGTGGC